CACTCCCACTGCTGAGAACATTGAAGTCATCAGGCAGGAGCCCCTCTTTGCCCTTCTGTAGTTCCAAATATATCTGAATCATTACTCATCTGTACCTTATTCTGCACGTCAGGGTCCTTGTTCTGTCATCCATCTGACCTTTGGATATCAACCCTTGCTACACCTGTCAAGTTCGCTTCTCTGCTTTCTTTCTCATCCCCTAACTTCTTAATTTTCTTTCAACTCAGAAACCTCCTGAATTTCTCTATTTTGTTTAAAAAAGAAAAGAAAAGGGAAACAGTCTTTCCTCATTCAATTTACCATCAAACAGCTCTTTTCTGAAAAAAAAAAATTCTTGGCAAAAGGATTTACATCAACATATTATTTATTTAAGATTAGTTCCATAAGACTTGGTGCAATCGCTGTAACTGGTTTCTATGCTCCTGAAACTTTTAGGAATCACAGAAGGCAACTTTTTCTCATTTTTCACAAGGGCATGTTGGGGATTTGCTTTATTAAAGATTCTTTCATTTATTAAATTGATGGAATTCAGGCCCTTTGTTTAATTTACCTAGAATTCAGATCCCAGTCATTTCAGTTGGAGAAACATGGAACATTTTTATACTGCTATTCTGGACCCCTCTTTCTTTTGATAAGGACACCATGCCCTTACTTGAGCGAATTACACTGCATGAAGGTAGTGTAGTAGGTCTGTTATTCAAAGAATGCTGTCCTCCTCTACATGGAAGGTCAGCAGTAGGAGATTTCGGCTTCCTTCTCTAATGATCACAGTGATTAAATACATTGATATAACTGGGTTTAACTCATTCTAGCAGCAATGTTTGTAAATGACAGTGTATGAGTTCCTGCTTATCTCAGAATTTATTTCTATCTCTGGCATTAGAATAAATCTTTCCTTTCCGGAACATGTTCTTTCATCCTCCACCTTGAGAGTTCCATATGGTTTATAAAGCTTTCTGTTTTAAAACATTAAGTTATGGACTTGGTTCCTATTGCTTTAAAAAGTGTGTTATTTTAGTTAAATGAGACAGTTTGCATACCCTTTGTTCGAAGCTAAGAGCCTACTAAGGGTTGTTTTTGATAACCTCAGGATTTTGCTTGTGATTTCTTGTCTAGTTAAAATGTCTCTTTCTTCCTTCTTAGATTAAGGAAACTCTCACTTATTACAAAATGCAACTGAAGGTTTCTTTCATCATTAAACTTTTCCAAAGTATCTTCCCTTTTCACCTTTATCTCCATCTTCCTAGAAAGCTTATTATATAAATTTAAATTTCTGTACAGTTAATTGCTCAATAGTACAAACAATATACTTTCCATATTTATACTCTCAGCAATAAGCCCAATTCCTGGATTAAAGCAATAATAGTACAGTTATTGTTAATTATAGCCTTTTTGTAATCATCAGGCTAGAACATACACATGTAAGTAAATAAACATATATTTCCGTGTGTCTATATGTAAAACAAATGCATAAGCAAATATGTATTATTTGTAAATATATGCATTTATACATCATATGCATACTGCATGCATATGTGCAAAATACTGTAGTGCCTTTATAATCTTATTCCCTTCATTAGCGCTTTAGTCAACTCAGTTCATGACTCAGAACACTAACATTAATATTAATATTCTTGGTATAGTTTACCTATGATATCAATATAAGTACACTCAGAATTCCCAAATCAAGAATTGGAACTGTTCTAAATTGCATAATGATAACAAGTTCTATCACTATGACATAGCACATTATGACTTACCATAATAATAATCTTTAAAGAATTTGTATTTCTAAGTAAATTTTGATAAAGAATGCTTTTAATTTTTTCCATAAAACAAAAGGTTTGATTTGTCACATAATACCTAAGAGCAATGCTTAGGAAATGAGGGTATTCCTACTGAACCCTATCAAAATAATTAAAACTCCAAATAAATATATAATCAAAAAACCTACATGATAAAATATACTGCATTTGATTTTACATAAATCATGCTCTTTGGCAACTATACATTATGAGTATTAATGTTTCTCTATAGAGCCTTCAGTTTAGTATTATTGCATATGTATGTAACCTCTGCATTATATATAATATTAACAGTGTCTTCAGCAATAAAAAACATTACAGGGCACCTCTTTTGAAAAATGTAACAATATAAGTAACACATTAATCTTTATTCACAGATCAAAGCTTCTAAATTCTTAAAGCACTAGATATCTCTAGGATGGCATAGGCCCTTCCAGCTCTAAGAGATTGAAAGTGAATTTCAAGTTGACTACAAGTCAAAGACCAGACATAAAACACCCACAGGGAAAGCATTTCATCTGTCAGAACAGCTTTTAATTGGAATTAAAGGTGGAAAAAAAAAGATGGCAGAAACAAGTGACTCCATGGACTGCGTCTACAATACTGATGATCCTTAAAAATGTTCCTGTCCTGAAAGTACTAGATCTCTCTTCCTACAAATGAGACTTCATGAATTACTTTATTCTTTCACACAAAAATAGTAATTTTTATAATCTACAGGACTGTGAAAATCCTTGTCACTCATGCCACAAAACCATTTTTTTAATCAAGAAACACAAAAGACAAATTACTTGAAAATAATTTATTAATGCCAAATTAAAAAAAAATTAAAAACTACATCTGGACACAATCTGAAAAAAATCAGCCTATTTCTTAAAACAAAAATCAGCATACAAACTGAACAGTAAATTCAAACAATGACAGAAGTAGAAATGAGATTTCAAAGTCTTTGTAAATGAGGATTCTTTAACCTCCAGACAGCCCACAAGGCATGTAATGTCTTCTTTGAAATTATAGCATAATATTACTAGAGCATAGAAGTTTTTACATTAAAATTATGTTTTATATATATATATATGTGTGTGTGTGTGTGTGTGTGTGTATCTCCAAAATATCACATGGATTAGCCATATAATTATGTAAAAATAGTTCAAGTTTAATCTATATTCAAAGAATGGCTCTAGCTCAATGGATTTTTGAACTTATGCATTGATGTGGGGTTTTGTTATTAACTACACATATACCTGTACTACAAAAGGAATCTTGACTGCCAAATACTGCATTGGTGCCTAGAAATGGCTAAAGGTCATATCTTCAACTGCTTATCCTACATAAAATCTGCTCACTAGTGCCATTCTGTAATCTAAAAAGAAATATGTCTCATCTAAGCATCCAACACAAAATCCTTTCCGGTTGTTTATTTTTTCTTTCTATATTGGTTTATCTGTCTCCTCTGCCTTAAAGATTATTTCCCTATTCATAAGCAACACTTTTTGCCTTTAAAGACCGTTACTGTCTGATTCCCACTTCTTCCAAATTCAGGTTGAACCTCTTTGTCATAATGCAGTAAATCTTGAGTGTTAGAGAAGGATGTGAGCATCAACAGAGTTCATGTGATTTGTGCTATGATGTGTGTGCACATATCTCATTAACAGTGTTGCTCATCATGTATTAGATTCTAGGGATATAATATTAACCACACAATGTATTACAGCAACTACATAAATAATTATCAAGTGAATGAAATTTATACATTTTATTCAATGCCACAGAAAGTACATGCATTATGCATGTTTAGTATAGAATGAATGTATCCATTGTTTAGTGCGCATCTTCTATAAGCAAAGTTCTCTGCTAAGAACAATGGAAGGGTGACAGTCAAATGTGAACCATACATGGAAATTCCTAGTGAAGACATATATTAAAGAAATAACACATGTGTACATTTTCATGCACAATCATTAAATTTAAGGAGCTCTGGATATCACACAGAAAAAGGTAACTGAAAATTAAGCACTAACAAATTGGGAAAAACGTAATAAAAGATTGAAGCATGAAAAGTAAGATTTGGTGATTTACAATTTGGAAAGACAAAGACTTCTAGCAGATGTGGCTTATAGTGAACTGGCAGGAATGAATAAAATGAGCAAAGGTTCTTGAAAATTGTGAAGCTAGAGCATAGATTTCATGCAAATAATGAATAGAAACTGCAAATGGCAGAGAGAGTTTAGAACCGGGCAAACATGATTCTAATTAAGAAATCTGAAGTTTATTAGAAACGAAGCACCACTAGATGCATCAGGAGTATGTTGTTCTATACTTGCAAGACACTGGGATAATAGCACATAAAACAGGTAGGTGGACTAACCTTCTAGGTGATACCAGACTATTGTGGGTAATTTTTCCACAAACTTTAAAATCAGTGCAAATTGTGCACTTCTCAATTATGCCTAATTATGATCTATTATACTTCGTGTTCTTAATCATTAGTGATTTAGTACATACAGTATTCTTGCTTTTCTAAATATATATTTTATCATATAATGTACTAGATGACACAGTAAGTGGAATGAAAGATAATAACAGTGATCAGAGTATGTCATTTCAAATTCAGAATACAAAAAATGTAATAGTGGCTCCTACAGAAGACTGTTCATCCCTACCACCATCTGCATGGTAAGTATAAAGGTCCAACTATAGCACATCTTTAAAATTCAAGGTAATGGAAAATGTTGAGGGAAAATATGTGAATAAAGCTGAAATAAAACATTCTCTAAAGTCAGTTAAACCAAGTTGATTGGTTTCAAAGAAAAAGATGCAGAGACAGCAGAAGGTAGAATGTCATTGTGTTAAAAGTGCTTAACAACTTGACATTTTTTGACTAATGAAATTCCAAATAAGAAAGGAAGGAAGGAAGGGAGCCAAGACACAGGGTGTGGCTCAGTGGAAGAGCTGCTGCTTAGTGTGTGCAAAGCCTTGGATTCAACTGCAATTGCTGGTAGAGGGAAAAAATAAAGTTAGGGTGCAAATATGAACTTACCTAATTGCTTTCCTGAAGTCTAGAAGAATACACATGCACATACATACATACATACATACATACATACATACATATAGCTCTTATCTATAGTCTTAGATGTTTGTTTTAATTCAGTATCTAAGTTCAAAGAAGTCCTCAAGAAAACAGTTCAAATATGAGTTGATCACTGATCATTTTTATTACATTCTAATGTACATACATTAGCACTTCTTATATGCATGCTCTAAACAATTTCAAAACATGCCTTTTCCAAAGTCATGCAAAACAGCAAGCTCAGTGTCAAGGCTGTAAAGGCTACTCCAACAAATCATTTCAAGACTTAAAACATTGAAGAAAATTAATATTTTTAAGATGGACATATCTGTATTTCAAATTCAAGCCACGCTTATAATCAATGTAAGAACTTTGGAAAACATAGGTGCTTGTGTTTAATAGCTGATGTCACTTAGAGGCACTTACAGTATGACAGGCACTGTTGTGTATTGCTTTCTGAAAGCGTAGCTCCACTAGACAGTAGTTCTGTGACCTATGTCACATTTCCAAATCTTTCTTTAATAACAGCTATTATTTACAATTGCTCACTTTATATCAGGGTTGTACGCTAATTTACACATGATACATTACCAGAACCATGCTTCCTAATAATGTTATAACAGTGTGCTATAGTTCATTTAAGCAAGAGAAATTAAGAAACTTGGCCAATATTATTGGCCAATATTATTCAGACTGATTCATAACTCATGCACCAAACACTTCATCTTTTAGCAAGTATGCATCTTTCAATTCTGTACTTCCAAAAGACTGTCAAGGAAGGACAAGACACAGTAATTTAAGTCCTGTGGACAGTGAACAAATGCAAATCGAAAAATCACTCTCATATCAAGTCACTGTCCAGTAACACTGGACCAAAACTTAACAGCATAAAACTAAAAAGAATTTAAATATAAATTTCTTTGTGTTTGTCTCAAAATAAATGCTTGCTAAGCAATTTTTATATCAGAATTTCACATTTATCTTCATTTCAGGAAATGGAACTTCCAACTAATTACATGACACCAATTAAAAATCCATTATACTGATATACTTATTATGTCATTATCAAAAATTCCCTATAAACAAAAATGTAACCTTTTGAACGAACATATTTCATAAAGAAAAGACAGGAAAATATAAATGACTTTGTTCTTACAGAGTTTTACATAAATATGAATTTGGGTTCCTCAAATAAGTAGTTCTTTGTACAACTAATTATCATTAAGTTACATAATAACCCCAGTAACATTTCTAATTGCATCTATACAATAACTGATAAAAGCTGTGGAACAATTGTGAGAGAAAAAAAGAGTCCTCTGTGTACCTCCTACATGACACAGACTCAAAGTAAAGTCATAGCTTAATTACACAATCATAGAAGGAGAAGCCAACAGCATCTAGTGACAGTGAAAGCGATCTCTGCAGAATTAGATATTAGTTAGAGACTTAAAGTAATTTATTCTTTGTCTGTTTTCAATTGAGAGAAGTGTAAAATGAAAACACATCTCCAAACTGTGTGCAACATTTCATAGCTTAATATACACAATTATACTGCCCAGCTGTTACGCTGTTTTGAAAAGGAAGAACCCATCTTCTGGCAGATGATCTCTTTGGCCCAGCCAAAGCATGCATGCCATGTAATAAAGACGGCATGTATAATATGAATATGTTCTCGATGGGGAAGGGAGAGGGGATGGAAGAATGCTTTCATGTCATGCGCATGAGAAATTAGCTCTAGGACACATTTTCCCCGCCTTAGGCCTATCCAAAGGCAGAGTTCTATTGTGATTCTCCAGAATGATATCCTTTGTAAGTCATTTCAATGGCTCTTAATAGAATTCTATGAATTACATTATATATTCAAAAATATAATTACCCGCATTCATATATTTGATGTTTGCTCCCAAAATAGTAAAAGATACTTTTGTTTAAAAATCTAAGTGAATTTTTTAGGCACCAATGGTCACTTGAGATTCAAAATATAGTTCATTTAATTCTATTGCACAATAGTTATGGGGTATGCTTTTAATTTCTGGAAGGAATTTTTAAACTATCTGCTCTGGATTCAAAAAATTTCCATATGTACATTCTCTTCTTTTAAAATAAAGAGTTGCTCCTCACTCTGGTGACATATGACATAGCCATCAACAGTTCTAAAACTGTCTTTTTTTTTTTTTTTTTAACTTCTTTATTAAACCTACTGGGAGCACCAATGGCTTAGATCACTACCTGAAACATCATGTTAATTAAAGAACTAATTAACTGGTCTAAGAAATATTGCATGAAATGGACGGCTGTACTTCTTTGTTTTCTGTGTGTATGTGTCACTTCCATTTGGTAACCACTAATTTAGAATCGTGTAATCATGCTTTTTAATCCAAATGTTAATCTCAGCTGACAAGACCACATGATTACTCAGCCCAGTGTAAGACACAGATTACATTTTTGGTTACCATTAAAAATGGGGAATTAAAAATAAAAGCTCCTGTGTTTTTAGAGCCCATGGTATTCATTTGAACACAATCTGTAAAGTCAGAATAACTGGAAGTCTGCCTCACAAACACTTCAGGAGCGTTTCACACTAAATAGCGACACATTTAAGTGTCTATTCTTCAAAAAAATTATAAAAAAGACCTACATGAAAAATTTCTCTGTATCCTGAGTAATAACAATGTCTTTCTATAACACATAATTTACTCAGTTATATAACTCACTATCAGATTTTCAACCCAATTTTGGGTTCAAACTGACATAAATTTTTATTTAATAAATACACAAGTTTTTTTAAGTAAACCAAAAAAAGTTATCACATTGGCACTCAGCCCATTCGTAGTACATTATCAGGAGGCAGCCACCTTCTGATCTTTCTGGAATGCACATACCGAATGTCTGGTTCTTTCATGAGCCTGAATAAATAAGAGGGGGGAAAATAACTTGTTGACCCTCCAGTTACAGAGAACAGAAAGATTAAAGACCTGGATCCCCCTCAGCTCCTGCTGAGACAGAATTTTCACAGACACAATTGAGCAGTAACAGAGAACAAGATGAGCTGTACCTGATTTCACAGCTCCAGTCTTTTAAAATAGGAAATGACCGTCCTTTCCCGAACAGGATATAAGCTGGACGATATTCATTTTTAATCACATGAATTTTAACTTTTCAGTAGGAATCCACATAAAATCAGCATAAAGATAAGCTATTCGGTGGTATTAACAATAAAAATAGAGTACTCAGATTTTTCATTAAAAAATAAATGTAAATGAAATTAGTGGGCTAACAAAATTCTGAAGTTGATTTTGCATTTCTTAGATGTTTAGTGCTAAGCTGAGATATGAATTTGAACCAGAAGATTATGAATTACCAAAGCCACAGAACTATATATGAGGACCCTATTTTCAATCCAGAAGTGTTAATTAATATATAATGTTTTAACAGTGGTTTCAAATAGGCAAAACTGATGGCAACTGTGGTTTGTTTTACCCTTGCTAGTATACATGCTAGCTAATCACTATGTTTCAAATAAAAATCACTGACTTTTCAGATACTAAATGTTAATTTAACTCAGCAAACCTTTGCTTTGGTTCCATTTCATACAATTAAGACCATATCATCAGGGGCTGGGGATTTAGCTCAGCGGCATAAGCGCCTGCCTGGCAAGCAGGCAGCCATGAGTTTGATCCCTGGTACCGATAAAAACGAAAAAGACAAAAAAAAAAAAAAAAAAAAAAAAAAGACCATATCATCTAAGATCCAAAGCATATTTGATCCTTAATGCGTTTGAAAATAAAGTCTCATCTGATACTATAAACAATTATTAAATATTTGTCAATAATAACAACCACTCGTTTTTTCACTGATCACCATAATCAACATTATCCTTAATTTCCATGGGAATTTAACAAAAAAAAAAAATGTATTACAGCAAATCAGAGCCTGAAGAAATTTCCCAGAGAACCTGTATCTGTCCAAGCTTCTGAGTTTTAAACCATAATGTATGGATAATAATGAAAATTTGATTTTCCCATTTCCATAAGTGTTTTCAATTCACCTTGCGACAGTGACACTGGTCTGTCTGATGCCATGAATATCTGCCAGCAACCACTCTACCCGGTCCTTATGTCCGTTATAAACAATAAAAAATTGATAATGGCCAACATTTATTGGATTCTTCTTATGCCAGCCACACACTGATTGCATTAATTTCATTTAATGATCACAGCTAAACTGTGAATTTGACTCTGCAATTAACTTTATATTACATATGAAGAAATGGATTCAGGAAGATGCAATTTGTCCCAAGGTCACCATTTTGTGAATGTGTGAATTACAGTTCAAACCCAAGCAGCCTGGCTCCCAAACACTGTACTCTTATTTCCTGTTTTCCTGCTAACTGAGGCATGTGACTTTGGAACACCTTGCACTTGTGTCTTAACTAGCTTATAAACTCTCCTTGTCAGTTGCTATTTCCTTCCGTCCTCTTCGATTCTAGCAGTAAAATCTCCATTTTCAATGAAATTACTATACATATTTATAATATTTGTTGAACCCACAAACCAAGTGAATTGAAGAATAGTTTTTCTTTTTTCCTGTCTACAATATTTAAAGTCAACTTTTACACCAGCTTCCATTTTATGCAATACATCTATGTGCTAGATCCTTTGAATATCTGCACATCTAAGTCAGGAAGGTTGGTAACATTTTGATCAGCTTGCTGATGCGTGACCGAAAGAACAAATAATTCATCCCTCTTTCCCCAAACAATTTCAGAACCTAACTTGTATTGCCATTTATATTGATGTTTGTCATCAAAGCTGGATAGCTCTGTGTTGAGTGTGACTTCTAGGAGGAGACTGGGAGGAGTTCAAAGCCCAGTTCCACCTCTGGCTAATAGGTACTGAAACGCTGTGCTTCATTTCCTCACATGTAAGATGGGTATCATGACAATAGTGATACCTGCTTCATGAGGATGATAAGAATATTGAATCAAGCGACTCAATTATTGCCTACATAGAGCTGACTCTCAGTAACATCAGTTTAAAAAGTGAGAGAAATACTAACAATAGTTCAACTCATTCATATTGATCAAAACTGGGAAGCAAAATAATAGCAGTCAAAATAATAGCTACAATTCAAAGCAAATGTCTTAATCCTCAAAATGTTTTATAATGTATTTTATATTTTCTTAACAAGTTCCTTCTGATGAAAATCTAAGGATAGATTCTGAACACGGCTTTTCAATTGGCAATTCTCATTCCCAGTTGCTTCAATACTTTCAATAGCTATCTTTTCTTGACCCAGGGTTAGTCACAAATAGAGGCAAGAAGAAAGTGTAGAAGATTTTTAGAATAGTGGAGCGTGGGAAAGGCTGTCTCCAACTATGCCATGTAAGCATCTGATCTTGTAAAGTCAAAAATGGATGTGACAAATTTAGACTTTATATTCTAAATTAGTTCTTTAAGTGACTGTAAATTTAATTAAATAAAAATGTTCATTGTGATCAATTTTCTAAATAAGAACCCCTGATGATTATGCACACTACCTGGGAAACTGTGAAACTGACAATAATTTGCAAGTCACTATGCTGAAACAAATGTATATACATACGCATTTATTATATACCCTATATATATAACATATATATGTACATTTATTTATGTGAATGTTTTATATATGTACTCATATATTTAAATATGTATATATGTGTTTTCATTTTGCTTCTGACGGTTTTCCTGGCATTCAATGGTTGGAGTAGTAGCAGGAAACTAAAATAGAAATGCCATTTTTTGTGTCAGGTACTTTGAGACTAAACATTAATCGTGAAATTATAACAGTCACAACACTTCTCTGCCTGTTGCTTCTCCTAAGCACGGAATTACCATTAGATGAAAGAGCCTACAGCACAAACATCAGGGGCTAGTGTTTGCTTCTCCTCTGAACTCAACTGAGCTGATCCAAGTCCAGAAATGTCTTTGAAGTTATGGAGACCTTCATGTGCTGATCAATCCTCGGGGGAGGGGAAAGAACAAGAAAAACTGGTTCTCTTATTTCATATTCTGACAGGGAATACCAAAGGAGAACAAAAATGTTTTCTCTTTTGCAAACAGAACGATTTTGTAGTTTCATGCTGCTTGTTTCATTTAACTTAGGGGGATCTACAAATTCCCTAGAACATGATTGTTTATGCCTGGGTATATATTTCCGTTAGGGTAAATGAAGAGCACAGAAGTAATAACTGTGAACTCATAGTCTCCCTTAGTGTTACCGCATGGATTGTGCTTTGGGTCAAGTTAGCTGGAAGCGACACATGATTTTCTTAACATTGTTAATCAGAATTGATTATTAATGCAATTAATGTTAGATAACATTTTGTAGTATTTCTAATGTACCAATGCCTTAGAACTTAATTGAAAATACCTTAAAATTGAAAGCTAAATCCAAAACTCCCTTGAGGTCTGTGTACCCAAAAACTTCAAATGTGTCCCTCAGGTCTGGTTGTTAAGTAACCTGTCAGGCATTGTTTTTAGACTCTCTCAAATTTCTCCATCAACCCTTTTCTCTTATTGTATTATCTATGCTCTTGTTCTCAACTTGGAAATAAAGAGGATATAGTCTAAAGACAAGCAATGTAAACACATGTTACATCTCATCATAGTTGAAGAGACTATTAAAGTAGGAAATATAGCCTTCTTATAGTTTTATTATTTTGATCACAGAAAATATTCAATACAATAGAATCATACAGTTTATAGACATTGTTTATAATACCAGCATGAATAAAGACAAAAATCCCTGTAATATTATAGATAGGATACCAACTGCAATTGATTGTCACATAGAAGAAGAGGTAAAAATTTCAACTATAAAGCTAATTAAAAAAGAAATCATTACAAATATCAGAGAACAACAGTTTCAAAATTATTATGGCACATGGTGACTACAAAAAATAGTTCAATCTGTTTCAAATATTCACTATCTTATCTCAATAACATATGATTTTCTTGCTATATAATTTATATTAAATAAAAGTTTGGGAGAACACATGTTACTTGTTGGTAGGACCAAAATGTTAGTTAAAAAATAGATACTTCCCCAGCTCATCTATAACAGCATCCAAGATTCATTCACATCTTTTCATTAAGCAAAGCAGGCTGACAGATGATAATACGACTTTTCAACTGTCTGTACACTGATTTCATGAGCCTGCTCTCATTATTTTCAGACACGGGTACCATCTTAATTTAAAAGGCTCAATTGCATTAAATATTATATTTAATTGGAATATTTTTGCAGCAGTCATTCTATTTTAGAATTGCTTCCTTTGTGAATAATAATCTTTAATAATAACAGAGATGAAATGGCTTAAGACAGTTTACTCAACCTCTTTACATTCTAGGTAACAAACCAAAGTGCATTAAATTTTACCACCTTTCACTTACACACACACACACACACACACACACACACACACACACACACACAAATGCAGACACATACATTCACATCCATACAAAAATTTTGCTTTCTATTTATACAGCATCTTCAGCTAAGCAAGTAGCTATAATGCAAAGAGGTACATCCTGCATGCAATTCACCATTAACAAAATAATAAAGGCCCTCCTCTATATTCATAATGCATAGGACCACAAATTTAAAAGGCCAGTTTCCTACTGCTATGATGGCCATACATTCCTGGAACACTTGTGTGGTTAATCTTAAATTCAATCAGAAATTGTATAAAATTCCTGGGTGATATACTGGGACCTATCATTCTGATTTTATAACATAATAAATTACATTTCAACACATATTAGAATGGCCTCAATTTTATTTCTTCTCATGTCCACTGGTTTCTCACCCTCCCTGATCAGCAGTAGTGTTTCTTTTTAGTGCTTTTTGGATAGTACTGAATGTTTAGTTTTCTTAGATTTGGTCCTGAGGTATACATTTCCATTTTCTTTGTTGATCTAGCACAGGCTCAGGTGATTCCTACATATACATCCAGTAAGTTCAAGCAAGGAAAATAAAATCATATCTACATTTATCACCACATTATTGACTACAAACAGGAACAGGGTGCATATCTCCAATCTCTGCTTGGGTTCATTCAAGTGCAAACTGAAGAAAAAGGATGTCCTGTTCTTCTTTTCAGACTCCTGAGCATGGTGATATCTGATTCTGTTTCTCCACAGTAATTGATAAGATTGCAAAACCTCTCTCACATCCCTCTTTTATTCCATATTGAGAGCTTGATTTTCTTTCATTTGTTTGCAAAGTATAGTTTGATTCCTTTGTGCAAAGATCTATTTTAAAGCCATTTTTGTTTCCTTCAAAATCAGGGCTTTGTTTTAATTAGGTAGTCATCCAGCCCCTTGAAAATCCTTTTCTTTTTACACAAGATAAATCCAAGTCTATTAGGATCCAACATATTGAGTTGGAATATGGCATGTATTTCACTTACGAGCATATACATTCATTTTACAGGATTCCTCAATGTAGCCAGGGGATTTCGTGGTCTGCACTGTATCCACCTACAAAAAATACAAAAATATATGTCTGCTTTACAGGGATGTGAGTAGGGTTTTGCTAGCCTAGTTCCAAAATCTGAACTGCACATCTTGGCTGATGATATTCTTTCCTTCTGCAAGATGTATTTGCAATGGTCATAAACTTTTTTTGGAAGTCACAGAGACATAATAGTTCTCACTACATTTAACATTTGGGCATCTAAACCAATACAGCTCATAACACTATGTATGCCATGTATGCAGGAAATGTCACAGGTAGCATGCTTAAATTGCTAACTGAAAATTGAAATAATTGTATTTTAGAGTTCACATTTTTCTAGACTGTAAAATGTCAGGAGAGGAGTTGGATCAGAGATGTGAGATTTACCTGAATGTTCACATCCTTCAAAGCAGGTCTGGCCTTTAAACACAATCATTAGATTGTTCATTCTCTCTTCACAGAAATCCAGGCAATTTGCAGGTTATCTACAAATGAATGGCTGATCATCGTTCAGAAACAATTACTCTACCTTTCAATGTCAACTAAAACTAGAAATTCCATCTGACCCAGCTATTCCCTTCTTAGTATCTTTTAGAAATATTTGAAGACATATCACAGTGATATATGCATACAACTGAGAAGTTGCACCTTGGAAAGAGCCTATCTGTCCATCAACACATGAATCAATAATGAAGATAAGGAATTTGTACACAACGATGTACTATGCTGCCATAAAGAGGAATACACGAGTCATTTGTATGAAAAAGAATCCACTCATTCTCTTATATAAACCCAAAATATAAATAAATTAAACAGCAAAATGGCAAGAGGAAACAGGATCTCTTGCAAAAGAGAAACGTACCAAGAGATGGAGAGATGAGGAAAAGAAGGGAGGGAAAGGGGATGTGCCATCTCCCCACAGTGAATCTGATCATAATATATTGCACACACATACTAATAATTTTTTTAAAAAATTACTGTTAAAAGACAACGTTTTCCAACTTCTTATTTATTTTTCACAAACAAAAATGATACTAAATACATCTCCAAAATTTTTGGCTCTCTTATGGTTTCTGCCTAGGTGTTCCCCCAAAGCCTCATGCAGCCATTGAGGTGACTGAATCTAGCATTTGTGATTGGTTCTTTGTCTAGCACTGGAATTGGTGGTGTGACTGATGCACCCACCCAGGGGCAGGGAGCCAGCATACAATATAAGGGAGAGAAGGAAGTATATTTTTCCTTTTTGCTCTTTTTGCTCTTGTCACTTGTGGCCGCCATGAGGGTTGCTCTTTAGCTGTGCCACCCGCCTTGCAGCCTGTTGACTATGGACTGAAATCTCCAAACACTGAGAGCTAAATAAACCTTGCCTTCCTTCATTTTGGGCATCAACTATTTTGTCTCAGCAATGAGAGTAAAGTAACCAAGACAGATGCTAATGTCATTTTTGAATAGTATTAATAGTAATTAATTTCTGTGAACACGTGGTCTTAAAAACCACAAAGACATAGGCGCCACTGTCCAATTGGTAGTGGAAATGATGTTAGAAAAAGTTTTAAATCTGAATTTTTCCAAAAAAGATAACAAATCATTTTCAGGAAGTAAAAATGATATCACTTACTACCCAAAATTCTTACGTTTACAACCTAAAGTCAGAAAAGTGAAAGAAGTCATCTAATTCCCAATGTAATAACACATCAGTCTATAAGAGGCAAGCCTACAAAAGAATAATTTCTTCCCCTGAACTCTTGATCAACTTGCTTTTGAAAGAAAATGGTATAATAAATCAGTAACACCTAATTTTAATTGCTCATACTCAAAAGCACAAAATAATTTAAAGTTACTCTGACAGTTGATTATTGTTATAAGCTATTTAAATTTAAGCGTGTTTAAATTTTCTTAATCATTAATTACATTCTATGTATTCAAAAAAGATTTTTTTTTATTTTCTACGAGGCCAAAAGTTAGCATACAGTAATGTAGGATGTCGTAACTAATAAAAAGGGCACACATGTGCACAATTTAAATTTTAGCTTAAGATGAAATTTAACTTATACAAAGCATATCACTACACATTTCATTTCAAAGTTCCTTATACACAAGTGGAAGGTAATATTAGAGAGTTTTTGATTGTGTGTTTTATTTGTAAACCAACTGCAACATTACAGCTATAGGGTAGCTCAAGAAAACATTATGTCTTCCTGTAATGTATTCTTATTATATATGATGTATTTCCAATTTTATTAAGTATTGTAAGTATAAGTAATGTATTTCATTTTATTAAGTTCTACTTTTTGAAAATATAAAGCATAATGTACACTAAATCATGTGCTATATAGGAACATAATTTTGTTCTCAATTTTAAAAGTCACAATAAGAAAGCATATATTTTAAAGAAAAGATTATATTAAAAATAACATTATCACTCTCAAAAATTTACCCAAATGTTTTTTTTTTTTCTGTAGTAGTCACTTAATTTCTGTGTCCTACAAAAGTAGCTACAATGTTCTCCATAAGGGCAAACATCACACCCAGTATATTTATGGCTTCCTTCTCAGTATCTGCATATGTGTGACTCATAAAATAACTGGATTAATGAGGGAATGTACATTAACAAATATGTAAGCCATACTATGTCATATCATATCATCACTGATAACTAGTTCTGAAAGCTGAAATTATGTGGGCATCTCTTTCTTTTGCTTATCATACAACTCTGGACTATGGATCATACCGCTTTTGAATTACAATATTTTGTAGAGCATTTATTAATCCCATCCCTCTGATAATTTCTAAAAATCTACATGTTTTACAGAGCTTCATTTTTTTTACTGTTTCCTATATAGCAATCAATCTCTTTTCTTACAGGGAAGACACTATGTAAAGTTTTCTGAAAAGTAGTCAATAAATAAATAATAGAGTAAAACAACTTTTTAGAAGAAGAATCTGTGATCTCAGAATGTTTCATTTTATATTTTGAAACCCTGGATTACAATTTTTATTGATAAGCACACTCAGGAATATAATACATTTAAATAATATATTCACCATCCTGCCATGCAACAAAATGAAGTTCTCTTATTAAAATGTTCTTTGGAAACAAGACGAATTCTGATTTCATAAATTAACTACTTAATAGTGAGCTTCTGTTTTTGTGGTTTTAAGCTCTGATGCACAGAACAAATGCAGCTGTGTACTAATATTCACCTGTCACTAAAACCAAGAAAAATAGATTCTTTCCTCACCATTAAAGATTAACGTTTAGAAACAAAAGTGCTTATCTCAAATCACTTACTGAGTTCATCACGAGCTACTCGGGAATGGAGTTATGAAATGGTAGTTGGTGAGGGTTGCAGTGAAATGGATATTCCCAGGATGTGTTTGCTTTGATGTGAATCAGCTAATTAATATGGCAGGGGAAGCAATTTTCAGCTGACTGCCATTGAGGAGATATGCTCCTCTAAATCAGGCCCACTCATCTCTGTCAAGTCCAATTCAGGTGAAGTTGTAGAGGAACAGCCTCGGTCTTTGCTTTTCAGGCTTTATCCCCAATTTATTCCATCACCTGGGCAACACACACACACACACACACACACACACACACACACACACACAAAGGCAATAAAGCTAGATCATTCCAGGACCATCTCCTACAAGCCTATCTGTCTACCTCTTTGAGCTTCCGTTTCCTAACTCAGACACTGAATCAAAGCAAGAGTTTAATTTAAAAAATGTACCTACAGAAAGTTGAACTGTAAAAGCTTTACTCATCCCTTTTTCCAGTCCTTCATGATCACCAGGAGGTGACCGCTGCCAGAAGGAAATTGAGTTAGAAAACAGCACTATAGACTCAGAACTATACAGAATACTCACACAGGAAAAGACTTGCTCTTTACCTGTGTTTCTAAAAATCTTCCAGGCCATAAACTAACAAGAAAAAAATATACAGGTAGACAGGCGGGCAGATAGGCAGACAGAGAGACAGAGATAGGATATGTATGTGTATGTTCCACTTATATTTTAAGGTAGGTTTCAATACGAAATCAATCACCTATGCAAGTAATATACATTAAATGCAAGTATCTATTGAACATCTTTCCTTATAATTGGTAATATAAAAGAATCCAATGGATATTCATTGTTTTTCCTTGACTAACGTTCATAGTCAAGAAAGCTAAAGGTAACATAAGAGAAGCAAGGCGTATTCCACAACACAGAAAACTAAAGTGATGTTTGCTCCTAGTCTAGAAGCCGGAAGTTGGTATTAATGTTAGAACATAACTGACTAGAACAGAAGCTGAGCCAGGCCACCCTGTGTTCCTTCTTTCCACACTAGAAAAATCATTTGAAGTGAAAAGCCAGACAAAGTAAACACAGAGTTTAGGAAAGCAGAAGACTGCAAGACAGTACCAGATCATGTTTTGTTCTTTTATTTTCTTCTGCTTCCTATAAATAATGGATCAAAACCACAAAAGGCAATAATTTTTAATCACTATAACTCCTGTGCAGACCCTGCTGGGGCTCAGGAGACTGTACCACAAAACATGGTACTTGGCACTCAAGGAGACAGAAGGACCAGGAATTCTTCTCTTAATCTAGTCTAGCCCTTCCCCCCAAAGCATGCAGTATAACTTTCCCCTTGAGGGATAACGCATAGCTGAGAAGCATGCAGTTCTGAAGGAAGCACACATCCTTATCTCTGTAAAAACAGGGATACTCAAAAACCTAAGCCACCAGGCCTTACTTAGTTCTCCCCGCTTTATAACCCTTAGCTCATCCATCAAATCTAGACATAAAAGCATAAAACTTTACCTGTTTCTTCAGGTCTTTCTTTCCTTATGAAATAAAAGAAATAAATATGTGAAACTTGTATATTAAATTAGTTTGTATGTTTTTCTCTTCTTGACCTTTAATGATAGAGGCTTGCACCATAAACCCAGTAATAAGTGAGGAAAAGAAATCTTTCTTTCCCTGCAATGTTTATTATAAGACTGTACTTAAATGTCTAATTTAACCTCGAAAAGTCCTTGTGAAGAAAGGTTTATAATTTTGTTCATTTTGTATTTGAGGGGATTGGAGTTCAGAGAGCTTAATCTTCTTATATAAAATTATATAGATAAGTGGTAAAATCAGAGCCTCAAACCATGATTTGGCTCCTAATCAAAAATTTTTTTTCTGCTACACTATGTTTGCTTGTAATATTTTTTTAAGATATGACTTAAAAATTTTACAATAGGCAACTAAATTATAAGCAAACTTAGGTGAGTTTTCTAAATTATTATATGTGAATCTGCTAAACTCACGTCTAGAAGCCTATGCATTTATCATATTCTATCATAATTATTTAAATTATAAGTATGTAAATAATCTATTCATATTTAAATTAATGCATATAAAAAAGCAAATTCAACATACCTTAAAGTTATCTAAATAAAAGAAATAAAAGGAAACAAGATCAATTTTGCCAAATGGTAGGAAAGGAAACCTGAACCCTCTCGCCTTTCACATGTTGAACACTCACACCCATACACACGGAGACTTTCACCAACAGTTTCAACCAAACTCTTATAAAAAATGAGATTCAGATTCTTAGTCAACTATTCAGTTGGCCATGTAAGCAAAGAGGATAATAAAATAAGTACTTGGCCTTGACTTCAAAATATGACAAATTTGGGGCCTTGGAACAGAATGACTTAGGTTGAATAGCAAAGTAATCAATATTTATTGACTAGTTGCCTTTTAGAAGCATGGAATCTCAGTGTTAGAAAGAATGACAAAGGTTATAGAGTCCAGTCATACACATAGCATAGAAGGAAATGCCTTGCAACCTCAGGGACAGCCCTGGTTTTCAGGAAATATTTATGTATCTTTTGAAGATCTCTTCAAAAGATACATAAATATATGAAAATAAATGAATTGGTAACCTTGGAGAGAAAAAGAAAGAGCTAGGTAGGTAAAACTATGAAAGATCAAATTGAGAAGCAACTCTGGTGAGGGTTCTAGGAAGAGTATTTTAAATTCCTAAATGGAATTTAAATCTGGGTCTTCAAAAATGTCTAAGCTGTTGATCCATGGAAAGAAGAGCAAATGGCATCCAGCAGTGGGGGATTTGTGAGAAGATAAGCAATGAGGTCAGAAAGCTGTGAGAAATCCCCTTGGAGATCTCCTTCCAAATTTGTCCTGAGTTGTTTTCCGTACTTTTTTTTATTTAGTTCAAAGTCACATATAGTAGGAACCAGTGTAATAGGAAAAATAAAACAAAATTCTCCCTCAATTACAAATGTATAGGAAAATTAAGTCATTAACTGCAAGAAGATAGAGTCTGCCACTGAAACAGCTATTTATATAGAGAACACTAATGTAATAAAGTCCTTATAGACTGCTACGCAAGAACACCCTTTTATAAAATCTTAAATCATTTATATATTAGATCATAATTTTATTTTCTTGCTTTAATTTTACATATCACATTTTCTGAGTCAAAGAGGTATGAAGATCAATTCAAATGTTCCTATCAGCTAAATAAGCAGAATGGACCCCATCTCAAGGCTTCACTTAAATTTGGCCAAAGCTGAGCATTAGGGCATTTCTTAACACTTGTAATAAACGTGCAAAATAACACAAACTTAAACTATCATCATTATCCTCTTTGGACCATGATATTAGCCACCTTTGGAAACAAAAGCAATGCTGGCTAGTATGCATGTGCCAAAGCAATAAGCTGCTGAGAGAAACAGGGACTAGATGTTAATGAGAAGATGAAGTGAATAGCAAGCTCAGCTGTCCTTAAATGCCACTGAAATTGCAATCATGTGCCTGAAAAATTGAGAGCTACTTGGGGAGCCTTGAATACTCACAAATGGGCCTAGAAGGCAGTCAAATTGTTTCCAGGTGATGCATAAACCCACTAAGAGTTTGATCCACTAAAGACAAACATAATAAATGTCTGAGGAATTAACTGAGACTTGAAAATGTACATGTGCGATAAGACAAAATGTGCAGATTTAACCAACTGACTTCCTGCTTTTGAAAGGATACATTTAAAAGGTGAGAATTGGCACAGTGATTATGTGATCCCTTTGGCTGATAAAAGATTAATTTCTATGTTAAATATGATTCTATGTTAAAGTGATTTGTGGTAAACCAGCTTCAAAAATCTATGCTTCCTGACAATTAGAAATTTGCAGAAGTTTTTCCACAAATACTTTTGCAAATACTAAGACGCTGATTTAAAGATTGACATGAATATATTTACATATTGATTTTAGTGCACAGAGGGTAATTTCGTGAATAACCAATGCACAAATGTTATTTCAGAGATAAGGATGCCATCTGGATTTTGCCTCTACCACGTTAAACCTTTTTCCAGTGACAATTTCTGAAACCCAGAGAGGTGACAGAATTTGAAGACTTAAAGATGTGACTATTTCAATAAAGACCTCTGGTCTTTAACCCCAGTTTACCTAACCCCAGTTTACCCCGGTGTAAAATTCAGGCAGCACAGGTGTTAAACTTAGACACCCATTTAATTGATAGTGGACTTTACATTACCACTATCAGTTGACAAGCAAATGAAAAAGAAAAATGTAATGCAAGAAATACAACTATACTAAATACCAAAACAACATTCTTTGTCATAAATATATTTATATGTGGGATAAATTTTCACATTCTCTTTATTTGAAAAATCAAAAGAAGTTAATAAAAATTATTTTAAGCCAAGCTTTGTTATAGTTTCGTATGACAAATTTTGAAGGTGGTTTCAATCAATACCACATAAAGATGTTAATATACTTAATATGCCTATTACATGAAGAAGACTGCAAATCTTACACTTTAAAATAGGTCACAAGGCTTAAAAAGCTTAATCACAAAGCAATATGGTGTTTCTCAACAGAAAGAAAGAGACAATTTGCTTCTCTCTCTTTATCCTTTGTCTTATAAGTGCAGTGTGATGTATTAGTTTAATTAAAGTCTACCAAATTATCATAAGGATTTTATGTGCTGCGAATAATTGGCTTTTTCTTCTCTACTCACTTTTTGTTAATGGAAGCAGAACATTTTTTTATGATACTTAGCCTAAGATACCAAAAGACTACAGGGGAAGAAAGGCAAGTGAGGTGCCTAATGAAGTGACCTTTGTCATCTTGGACATGAAATAAAATTAAGTCTGCACTAATGCAGTGAAAATAAGTTAATGTTTCCAAAGAGTTAAAAGGATAGATGATATTATGGCTCAGAGCCAACTTATACCAAGAAGTCGATCATACATAAAAATGACAATCCTATTAATATGAAAAGCCAATAGGCTCTAAAATGAAGTAAAGTGCATAAATAAATCATGTTGTAAGTTTTTAAAATAATATATACTGTAATGAATCCGGGGGTTTTATGGATTGGATCAAGTTATAATGCAGATAATGTCAGGCTACAGATATCTCTTTAATAAGAGACAAATTAAACACAAAAATGAACAAGAATATAATAAATGTAACATACTAAATGAAAGTTTGAAACAGTGACCATACTGAAATTCCTTACTCTTGCTAAAGGTGAGTGGGAAAAATTATAATTAAATTATACTAGCATTTACTGCTATCTCTAATGCCAGCATCACAACTGAGAATGACCTGCAATCCCAAAACCATCTACTGACTGTGTATGGCATCTGAAAGTGAGAAATTACTGGTGATTATCATATGATTTCCAATGTACATTACAGACACAATACACATTTACAATAAATGAATTTCAACAATGCTTTTTTAAAAAAACGTGATTAACATTCTTTTACTACTGAATGAAACATAAACTACATATTTCAGAATTCCTGAGAATTTTGAGTTTTTAACTCATCTTAAGTATTATGTTTTTTAAAAACTTTATGCTGATATTTTTGGCTTTCTCACAAGTTAAATGTTTTCAATTAGTGAGAATAGCTAACACTCTCTTGAGTGTTTGAAGCTTACTGGCAAGGTTTTCAGGAAGCAGATACTATCAGTAATACATTCAACAAAGAAGGGTATCAGGATCTGAGAAACTGACTGATCCCAAATCTCAGATCTAAAATCAAGGAATCACAGGAATTTTAAACCCACAAAGTCTCACCCTCCTGTCTTTGTTCTTAACTTGATAATAGTCTCTGCCTCTACAAATACAGGTAAATATTCTTAAAGCCAGGTTATTTAAACTTGCTGTACCTTTCCAAATACACCCCCAAAACAAACATTTTTAATGAATGTTCATACTTTAACATGTCCTAAGAAACTTTTAGCTTCTAATCTTTGATTTTCAATTAACTACACTCCTTCCCACCTGCCCCCCCAAACTGCATAACAAATAATAATCATATTTATGAAGAGCGAGCAATATGTGTACATAATTATATACTTGCTAAGCCTATGTGACCTTAAGGGTACTACTGTTATTGAAAAGTCTCATGACCCAGCCCCCAATATACCAAACCAAAAGTAAGCAAAGAAAATGACATTATTTCCAACATCTGAAAAAATGCTCATAGGAAGGTGAGTTTCCTCCCTGATTCCTCCATATTCTGAAGAGATATATACTTGATTTACTCGATTTGTTTTAAGCCAAAGACTGAAAAGGAATCTTTGACAAAACTGTCATCTTTAAAACACAGTGATATTTCATTTTCCCCTTCTGCACTATTTAGATTGCTTGGAACTGAAATGCTTCCAGCAGCTCTTGTGTCCAATTTTTCAAAGCTGTCACTTCCTAGCAAATCTGCTTAAGCAAAATACTTACGTTGTTAGAAAATAGAACAAACATACATTATAAAATGCATTCTACTCTTCTTTGCAGGTCAGAATCTTAGGCAAGAATGGGAACTTGGAAGAACATGTGGAAATAAATTAAAAGATGACTATGATGGATTGGTTTAAGTCCATGAATCGGGTGCACCTCTGATTAGTTTCTAAAGATAGACTTAGTTCAGTAGCATTTTCTGCACGATAATCATGTAATCAAACTGTTATTTTCAATGTATTCACTAAAGGTCATCAAACTGAAAAAAAAAATAAGCCCATGGAAAAATGAGACAGTGAAAGATGGACATGGTTACTCTTCCTCAGTTCGTGTGTGTAGTAACTGTTACAGTATAATGTGTCAACAGTCTATGTCCCAGAAGGTAACAAAAAATCTCCAAGCTTTAAACTTGTAGGCTTCTGGCTTTTCTGAATTGTGGGAACCATAATTCAGACCTTACAGACAGAGAAAGCACAACAGAAAGACATTTCAAAATAATTAATAGAAAGGAAAAAGGTATAGAAACAACAACTAAACTTGTTATTATTAACAAGTCCCAAGTAAGTGTGTTTTGGAAAGGTTCAGTCACACAAACTGGAAACATTTATGAATAAGTGAATATTCTTAACACAAAGTGTACATAAACATGCACACACATACTAATACAGTCTGAGTTGTATATATTTAGATGTGTAGTATGCATATTTATCATGTGTGGAACTTTTTCTCCGTAAATGCATAATTATACAGTTCTGGCTGAAATTAATCCCTCCAGGATTATACAATAAAAATTATCTAAGACTTTTAACTCCCTACATTACTTTAAAAAGCTAGTCATGTCTCAGCAAAAGCTGACACTGCTTATGGTGTACAATCCAAAACCCAATTCTCTCTCAGCACTTTAACACTAGATCTGTCACCCTTTAACACCACAAAATCAATACCTTGGAATGTCATGGTTCTCTGATGGCCCACAAAGTCAAGGCATGATCAATTTCAACTTCCTTACTAGACAGAAATAGACTTAGACAAATAAAAGATTCCATTGAAGTTCAATTCAATAAAACAACGGAATAAAGGCAGAAAGAGTCAAAGTTGTTAAAATTGAGTCCAATAAATTTCCACTTAAATTTAGATATATTTTTAAATCCAGCTAGATTGCATAGAAGCCAAAAAAAGAATATACTACAATTAAAAACAAGCTAATGAACTACTCTAATCCTCAAATTAAGAAATATATCATTAAATGTATATGAGGAAGCGTTCTGCTGTTGAATTAATTACAAATCAGTAAGAGGAAGATGGGGTCCGAATTCTTCCCCATATGTCCTTAGAACATAGGATGATTTTGGCTTCACTGTTCAGTAACACCAAGAATCTTGTCTTTCACATAATGAACTGCATCTCCAGTACTTAGGGCTGGATGCAGACTAGTCATTTAAAAATGTCTGCTTACTATATGAACAACACACATAAGAATATATCCAGGACAGAAACTCTGTAAGGGCAAAAGTCTTCTCTTTCTTGTTCTCATGTGTTTCCCTGGCTTTTGTAGTGCTTAGCCCAGAGCAGACACACAGTAAACAGTTGAGGATTTAGATGGAGCTTTTTATCTTGCCTGTCATATGTTAGCATTCTATAAAATTTAGATGATAGACGTCAAATTTTTTTTCTGTAAAACACATTTTATATATGTCAGTGGTTTTACTCCACTCTTAAGTTTCATCATATATAAAACAAAAACTTATTTAGTAGAGCTTTAAAAAGTTAGGAGGCTTGGAGAGTACATTTGGTTCACTAACTTTCTATGCAACTGTGTCCCTCCAGTGTTATCTATAAAATGCAAAGAAAGGACACAGAATAAGATGATTCTCAGGTATTCTTTTGGGAGTATGTCAGTATATACCCTCTTGGGTATATATACAGAAAAGGATTCAGAAGAAATCAATGAAAGAGGCTCAGGAGGTCAGAAAAAAGATGGAAGGCAATCCTATTAAGAGAGTTAAAAGAAATTGGAGTCATTCAATTGAGCAAAGAAAATGCTGAAAAAGCATTAGTGAAGCCAACGAGTGTGGGAAGACTTAGCAGCATGTGGTAGCGGGCCTGAGTTATTACTTCCAGTCCCAGTAAGACAGTGAGTATAAGATGTTCCAGTCTTTTGTTTTCCTATGCCATCAAAGCTAACAACAAACATATCTGTGACCCAGCGTGCATCAGGGAAAGCCCTAGACACAGCTCTAGGCAATAAGACACAGGCATAGGCGTCCTTCCAGAATACAAAGCAAATGAGTTCAAGGAAAGTTTTTCCTTTCCCTTTTTATCCCTCTTCTTTGTAGCTACCTGAAACAGATGGAAATAGACTTGGAAATGGCAGCTCCCTTCTGATTATGAAAGGAAAACCAAATACTAAGCATGGTGGTCACAGGAGAGCAGCATCATGATTTTGCAGTGAAATATGCTGACTGATGTTTCTACAATCTTACTTAAAAAGTAAACACCTCATTTTACCATGTTGAGTCCATTACTTGCAACCTATTGCATTCCTTTGTGATATATTTGCCAGCAGACAAATCAGAGACAAGAGGAAGAAAAAAAAAACTGTAATTATGAAGCAAACTTCATAAGACACTAAATAAAGGTCAATAGGAGTGTTTGATTTGATCAATTTTGATGTTTCACATTATTGACTATCACTGGAACCGGCAGAATGGAGGCAGTTTTTAAGTGTCAAAAGTTCTGGAAAAAAATCATAAGGCATAAGTTTGACTTTTGTCTGTGTAACTCAAGATTTATCAGGAATTCCTCAGTATAAAATGTAAATCATAGTATTTACCTTGATAAGAAAATTATTAAGATTAATGAAATAATGCATGGAAAAATACTTTTAAAACATCTAGGACGTTACTAACAGCTATACAGGATGCTGTCAATAAATGCACAAATTCTGGAACATGTTACATATTTATCATTATCAGGCTTATTAACATACAACAATCTCTCTTTTTCTTTAGAAAAACCACACCTAACAAGAAAGGTTGTCCCTCTAAAGGCGTATTTCTGTCTCATGATACTTTTCTCCTGAACGTGTCTGATGGGAAGAAGTGACAGCTTTAAACTGAGTTAGAACCAGACTCCTTCCTTGTCACTTAAGATTGTTACCCAGAGGCTATCAGGAAGATTTTTGTATATAATAAAGCACATAATGTAAAAATCAATAATATACTGATTTCTGGCCCTATTTTTCCTCTTGTTGATAGAAAAAATGAATTTTTAAAAAAGATCATCTTCAGTATAAGAAGAGAGAATGCAAGGGTTTAGAAGAGAGAGAGGAGGAGAGAGGGAGGGAGAGATCTTGAATTTCTAATATATTGTTAAAGACTAGGTTGCATGTCTTCTTCATCTTTGAATAATGCGCCTTAAATTATGTTCTCTTACTGAAAACCTAGTGGGCTAATTAAAAATATTCATTTTGGTTTTTATTATTAAAGCATTTTATTAGTGTTATTAAGATGGCTATCGAAAATGTTAAAAATAAAGACTACCTATAGACCCTTCTCTAGCATTTTGCTAACTCCATTATTATTAAACAAAAATTCATAAAGTATATTGTGAACAAAAATATTTACACAATTAAAAACAAAAGGACTACATATTTGCCTGATTCCTTGTCTGTAAAAATTAAAGAAAATATACCATTAATTAAAATCTTGAAAGTGCAATACATCAACTTTTTAAATTCAAGCATCTTATTTTTAAAAACAAGTGCAAATCGCATTTATGTATAAAATTTCCATGTATTTTTCTTTTGTGAGAAGCAAAGAGCTCAAGAGACATAATTTAGATCTTATGTGCCAGAGAAACAGAACTGAGCAATTGCTAAGCCCTCCCTAACTGTTAGGATCCTCTGACTGCATCACAGTGTCCAGATCCTAGAATGAAATTATGGGTTTTCTGAAGGTAGGCAGAGCCAAATTGCTAAATGCTTTTGGTTTGGGTCCCAGAATGCAAGAGCTTCTGTGTATGGTCTTGTTTTGTTTAGCTAATAATGAAGAAAAATTTCTAAGTTTCCCCATAATCCTGGTTTAGCAGTAGTCATTTTCAGATCTAGCTAGGACTGTTCAAACTTGGTAGGCTTTTTGTAACAAGGTTAAAAGTACTTTAAAAAAAATAATAGAAATTATGTAGAAGACTGTAAAGGAATATTTCCATGTAGTGACAATAAACCAATCAAATAGCATGAGTTTCTTATTTAGAGCATTCAGTTGATATATTTTGTCTATGAATTGTTAGTCTCATGTTCTGGCATATGACCTTCACAGCCCTGAGAAGACCCAATTTAATGTTTACATTTTATATTATTTCATTTCAGTCTAAGCTACTTTTTCACTTGTGGCATTTTGTCATGCAAAAATAAGTTGCACTAAGTGAGGATACATTTTGTAGTATATCATGACTTGTTTTGTTTGGAAATAGGGACTCATTGTACAATTCAGGCTGACCTTGAACTCACTGTGTAGCCCAGGTTAGCTTCAAAGGTATAGCAATCCTCCTGCTGGAGGCTACTGAGTGCTGAAATGACAAGCATGTGCCACCACACCCAGAGTGATGGTTTTTGAAAGATAAATGGTATACAATATTCCCACCCTTCCTTTTAGTGTCCCTTGCATAGCTTCAGCTGTAACAAATAAGATCTGGTGATAATTATTTAATGATCCTTTTTCTTTAATATTCGAATTTTTCAAGGAGGAAGTTGCATTTCAATCTTATATGTTTAATCAGAATTTTGACCAGCTTCTAGTTTAAGATCACCTGAAACACAGCATAACACTGATGATACTATAACTTCTAAACCAGATTAGTCTGCTGATGCGGCACTCAATTAGCACCACTGGAGAGAAGGAACCTAAAAGGACAGATACGTATTAGCTATCACAGAGCACTCTATTCTTACCTGAGTTACACATTTCCCTGTCCATTTACTTCATCCCAGTTTCCATAACAAATTCATCAGGTAATAGGGCCAAGAACCCCTTACTATTCTTAATGTTTAAAAGCAGAAAGTGATAAACCATTTCAAAACACACTTCCATAAATAAAGAAATTGCCAAAATACATGAAAGCAATAATAATTTATTCCTTGCAGAAATAGGAAACTCGATGGATTGTTTCATGGGAGGACAACTGGAACTTAGTGCACTAAAGGAATCTCCTTTTAGAACAAATATTACTTGTTTGAAAACAGAACATGAAGTGATGTTACTCTGTGAACAGAGGAAGCTGTAAATGGCCCTCTAATCAGAGCATGGTGTTCCTGAATCATCTGTCTTTTCATTTTTCAACTCAAGAGTACCCACCACGCCTGTGTTAGTAGCTATCAGGAGTACACTGCTCCTAATAAATTCAATGGGTGTTTTGTAAGTGAAAAGCCTGCAGGATTGGATGCTTTGAGCTAAATTTTAGCTGCATAAACAGGAATATTGCTGAAAATGCCAATTAGTGGTTCAAAGCATAAATAACCAAGCATTAGCTAAAGAAAAAATGTTTATGGAATAAAAAGCATCACCTATTTAATCTATGCCTGGCTTTGCTGGATGGCTCACCCAAATATTAACAATAAAACTATCTGAATAAATTCCTACTGAAAGGTAAATGCAGATGAACAGTGACTTCTCAAGAGAATTATAAAAAAGTGAAGCAAAATAAAAGTTATACATATAAGCAATTTTACATTTGGTCTTTTAAATTTCAAAGCAAATAATTCTTGCATTATGGTAGTTCTGAATGATTTAAGACCCTCCAAAGTGGAAGGCCAATGCATAAATGGATGCTAACATGCATGGTGGAGTATATCTTAAAAGAACTCAAAGAATTATGTCATAATAACTCACATAACTAAAGGCACATGCATGCATGAAGAAATTTTGCTTTGAGTTGAAACCTGGGAAATCTTAAGGTCAAATGGAGGCTTATCAGACAAATATATTCTATGCCAGCTAAGAGGCATGAAAGAATATCCACACAGATGGGAAGGAGATAGCTGACTTGCAGGAAGCCATGCGGAGTGACAGCTCCACAGCTCCTCCACACCTGATCTGGCAGCAGGGCCTAAGGGGCTGTGCTGCAGCCAAGTCAGTGGGGTCCAGAGGCAAATGTGGCTGGATGCTCTCTGTGCACCGGAAGTCCTGGTGCGGGCAAGCCTGCACCTCTGCAAGTGGTTTCTCCAGAAATATGTAGATGCTCACAACTTGACTCATCTGTACTGAGTTACATGCCAACCTGGCTTGTATTTTGAAGGAATTTATCGGAAAGGAAATGTCTGCTAGTAATTGCTATGAAAACATTTATTTGACCCTCAACAGTGTTCCTCATCATGTTCAATTATTTTAAATAATGTATGGGAGTGGAAACACGATCATGGCTAATCAATACTAGATTGATTGGGTTGTAAAAATTCTACAGTTTTTAACTGCTGAAACTATCACTACCTCCTAAATTTGATTTTGTCCCTGAAAATCTATGTAAGAAATGTAATTTCTAATTTCCCCCATTTTAAAAAGTTCTGACATTTCTAGTCATAAGCAAATGTCAGCTGAAGATGTAAACATACTAATGATAATAGCCAATAAACTTAGTAAATGTATATGCAATTTTTAAATTAGACAAAAATGAACAGAGTGAGCAAGACACACGTGCCAAACCTTTATAGTTTTATTCATTAATTAATGCACACTATTAGATTTATTCAAGTGATAGCCACAGATTTATATATGAATGAAGAATATCTGAGCCAAAAATAGGGTAAAATTTTTTTTTAAATATCCCTTTTACCTTTGGAATGTCACATTGATTCTGAATACCACATTGTTAAATAACAATGACTATGAAAAGATTATTAAACAACCTTCTCTGAGAAAGAACAGTGGATATCATTTTCAACTGATAAAACTATACCATTGAAAGAAAAGAGTTGAGTTACACAAACTGGAAATTTGCCAGCTCCTTTAGTGGTTTTAAGGCAACAGTACTAATTTTCCATTCTGCAGAAGCTAATGGGCACTACAGAAGATTTTCTAAAAAAATTTTTAATTATTTCAAGTTTCTAGTTCAGTGCTCCAAACCACAAGGTAGATACCTCAGTATGCCTCAGAAGCAGGATCTGATTTTACTGTTTTGTTTAAATTCTAAAACTCATTTGAACTCAGTACCTCTGGGAGACAAGGATTTCCTGATTGTTGGCAGAGCCTCTAAGGATTCCTACCCCAAATGGAAGGAAGATTTGTATCTGAGTCTGAGTTTCAAACAGATCTTCACAGTTTTGCTACCAACCCTGTCCTCTTTTTAAAATGCCCTTTGGACTTCTGTAGCAAAACTCAGAGTGGTTAGAAAAGAGGCAGCACTGTGAGCTGTGAAGTTGCCCGTTCGCTAATCTCTCAGAGGCAAGTTTACCGCTTGATGAATCATTAGCCTTCACTTCCTGCAGCACTGAAGCTTTCCCTAGGGGTTGCTACTAACTAAAGGCTAATCACCCCTGTTCTTATTTAGCTCTAGAGTTCCCATTAGATCATAGTTGAAAGTGGATGACTGCAGACTGCTAATTCTTACCTGAGAACATATTAAACAAAAACTACATTCCCAAGAAGCTTAATTCATCTTCCTTTGTAACAAATCCATACCTAAATGTTGTATCATTAAATGTACGACAGTGGTAATCTTAGCTGCTCAGGAAAAAGATATTATGAACATTTGAGTGGCCATATGGTATTACTAGGGGAATTCCTAATGGCTAAGTTATTTACACTCCACTACTATTTTTAAAACCTAATATGGAATTACAAAATGGTGAGAATTACATCAATAAAACATGCTATATGTCAAACTCGCCCAAAGAATATTTTGCACATAACTAAAATGGATATTTCAGATGAAACTTCATGCATATATTTTCATAGGTGTAGGACCATTTTGGATAGTACATTTATACACTTATTCACAATTGAAATGAATTAATTCCAAAATATAGTTCTATTCTAAAACATGGGATTAAAGATTAAAGAGGCAATAACTATCACAACACATGAATCAGGTGTAGTCTAGAAAAAATTTCTTCATAATTTTCTGTCCAATGTATTTCTAAAATATAACGTTTTCTTCTTGACTTTTTCCTGTATAAAGAAGCTGTTCTTTTACTGATGTATACCCACACTCTTGTAGGTACAAATAGATATCTTCTATGTTTGTTTTCTATAATATAGTACTTCTACAAGTAAAACATTCTATGACATTTATAAATACACCAGTACCTTAATTAAATAGACTTAAAAATTATGTTTTTCTTCCATACATTAATGCATGCATCATAAAAATCTTAATTCTAAAACATACACCATTGCTATTACCACATGATAAGGTGTTAGGCAAATCACTTCTTACAAAAGAAAGGAAAACAGTAATCTAGCATTGAATTTCAGTTGCATATTTCAAAATTCTACATAGAGAAACTCTTAAATTTTGTAATTCTAATACTAAATCTTACTTGAGATATATTGCCATTTTTACAATCAGAGGGCCCTTTTCACTAGAATCAGTTTCTCTTTTTCCTACTTTCAAAGGGAAGCATCCATCCCTCTGGGACACCTTCCTAAGCCTCTCTTTCCTGTGACGTCTTTTCTAAGCCCACTTGCGTCTCTTAGCAGGCGTCATTGGTTCTCTTTTTTGTCTCAAGGCAATTTATCTCCTTCCCACTGTCTCCCAATTATAAATATGCAAGTTGGATAATTGACCCACCCCTCTGACTGATTCACTGGCTAAACAGAGCTGACTACCTTCTAGTAAAGCACTAACAACAAGTGGGGGATGAACTAATTAATTAACCTGAACATCTGAAGTCATTATTGCCACAAATCCTTTGGTACCTTCTTTTACTCTGTCAACCATTAAATCCTCCCTCACCCTTTCACACCTGCACTCCTCATACTCTCACTGGAAAACAGAGTAAATGGTTAAATTGTGTGCAATATCTACATATAAGCACACACGACTACTTAAACTTAGTTTTCCTCGACATTTTAGATTTTACAATTAGATCCTCAAAATGAACATTAAAATGTATAGAAAATGCAATCATGAAAACAAAACCTTAATTCGGTGAACCCATAGAGAATCTCTAATTTGAAGCCCAAGAAAGTACAGTATCAGCAAGAGCAGAACTTTGTACAGAAGGGTCTAAGGGTACCAAATAAAACAAACCAATGAAAACAACATAAATTGAGATTGTTAAAGAAAAATTTCTGAGAACATTTTATAACCTGTATTCCATGCCAGAAGGCTATGAACATAATGCACGAGCCACCAGATGCCTCTGATAAGTCTTTTTGGCTCACATTTGAAGTAGTAAAATGAGATCTGAGTATCAGTATAAGAGGGCTTTTTCAAGGTGGCTGGCCAACAGCATAATCTAAAGTTTATCATCCTAGGTACTTTCCAGAAATAATGTGCAGGAAATGAGACACCCTAGCTCCCTAGTGCCATTTCAACTCTCCTTCTCGCATGAACACAAGTACCTGAATTCTTGCTCAGTGTCCTATTAACTTGTCCAAGACACTTCTCAGGCAGATCACATATGCAAGGATGCAGATGTGATAAAAGGGCAAACATTCAGTTGGTTCATTATTGCCCATTAAGTAGCACTTGACTTCAGTACGTATCCCATAGAACAATAAAAATCTACTGAAACTTACGGTATTTCAAAGTTAACAAATTTCATTTGCACACTTCATTTCTTTCAAGGTCATATAAAGACGTAACAATAATATCTACTTTTATGTCTTTGAAAAATCTGCAGTCAAAAATTGAATAAGCACTGTTGCACAGATAAACCCAATAGGGTAAATTATAAGCTATAAACACTTGATAACAGTATGTCCTTGAATAGTTATTTAAAATTAGATGCCCCATGAATTCTCACAAATATTAACTCTTTATGATAAAACATTCATTAAGCACACATTTAACCATTTTTGAGTGGAAGTCTTCTAAAATATTTTCCATATCAACTTGAACCCTTACAGCCTACACAAAGATTCATAGTTGTTATAAATACAGACCAGGGATTCTTGAGTAATACTAATTATGCTCACCCATATCATCCGATGTTATGGATGTATATTACCTTCATGGATGCATATAATGGTTCTCTCTTTCACTTACATGTTTTCCTTACATTTGGGTATTATTTACTACTGACAATAGAATATGTATCTTACTAACGCTATGTGTTCAGATCCTAATTGACGGCTTGAACCAAGCCAGGGATATAAAAATAAGTGTATTTGCTACAACTATGTATTAAATGAGAAGAAACAGTTCTGCCAGAAAATCTAGATGTAAGTGAATTGTGTGAAATTTCTTACATACATAGGGTAGCACCCTTCCTTTTTAAGCCTCTATTTTTTCGGGGTTAGTTTTTTCTTGTATTTCAGGTTAATTGCATTACAAAACATAAAGGTTACACAGAAAATTAATGCTTAAATTCTCTAAATTTACCAAAATAGAAGTATATATGATAAAGCAAGAAGATACTTAGAGATCAAATTACTAGGATGTGAGCAGTTTAATCTTCTCTTTTCTCTTCCAAATGGTAGTTGAGGCTATTGAGACGCTATTTCATCATTAATGAAAAGGGATTTGAGAAATACTAAGATCAAAAACAAAACTGATCCTGAAATCCCAGGCTGACAGAGCACTCTGGGATTATATTTCCTGCTTCTGACTAGACAGCTATACCCTTGAGTAACAGCTGTACTTGGCGAAACAGTGATTTACTGATGTGGTAATGAATGTACCCTCAACAGTAAGAGATGTTTCTAAGCCTCCACGGCTGTCTTCTACATCAGGAGAAGACCTCATATAACTAATTTAAGGAAGCTCCTGGCATTCAAGATGTTTCCTCTGAATTTTTTATGCAGCGATCTTTGTGATGAACAGTCTACCCAACACTTTAACTCTAATTTGACTTTCTCTGAATCACAAAATTCTAAGAAGGAAATAAGACACCCTAACTCACTGATTAATCATTGTACACTGAGAATAAGAAAATAAAGCCATAATGTCTTTTAGGCCAAATATAATATACTTAAATTGCTGTTTGTCATTTATCTATGCCCTTCTCATTAAAGTGAGTAATCAAGTTTGGAACATTCTGATTGTACGTAGTTTCATTTTAATGATAGATAAATAAGGCTCCAGTAAGTTGATTCTGTTCCTAATAACTGAAAGAAATAACATGGATACTTGATTTTGTGTTTGGTTACATTCTGTATTTTACAACTGACTTTGAATTTTCAAAGTACTTGTTGCCTTAATCTAAAGATCTGTTATGTTTGATGCTACAGTTTACCAAGTTATACTCAAAGATTTCAAGGAAAGAGACACTATGGTAACTACTTTTATGTCGGGATATCTTGTGGTGAAACACTATTTTGCTTAAATGGTTATGTGCTGACCTGTGCTGTTTTGTTGTTATGTCCTCTTTTATCTCATCTCCTATTTTTATTATTTATTTGTTTTATTTTTATCTTTTTAATTAAGGGAAAAATAAATAAAAAATAGCAAGATATATTGTAGTAGCCCACTTTGATTCCCTATTAACTTGATTTGAAACCCTGAATTGCTCTCACCATCTTGTTTTGACTGATTTTCCTCTATTCTGTTTTGCTTGATAGCACCAAGTTTGAGAGTATAGGCAACAACTGTGAAGACAGTAAGATTCACTATGATGCCCGTTCCGGTTTGACTATTATCTTATTTTGAAGTCCTGTAATGTCTCCAGTGTTTTGGTTTTATTGGTTTTGTTCTTTACTGTTGTTCAATTTTATTATAACTGATGAGATAGGCAATTCTTTTTAAGATAGCAAGAGGCATTATGGTAACCGTTGTTGATCATGTTGTATTCTGTTTTTACATTATGTACTATGTTCATCCTTTTGATTTGACTGACTCTGTTTTGTTATGTCATATTTGGTTTTATTCTCTTCAAAAACAAGTAATAAGAACTGTGAGAGTAATAAAACCCAAAATGTGTAATTGTCATTGTAAAAAAGAGGACAATAAAGTGCTCTAAAGGATTTAACTGCATGTATATTTAAGCTTATAAGATAGATAACTATTTAACTGAATTTTTGTTTGGATCTTTGAACGGCACTGTTTATAGTCTCACCGTTTGAATGTTCACTTTATATGCTTTAATTTTGTAACTTGAACAACTATTTCTAAGATGACAATATGTAATCTATTAACTAGTGATTTTCCTACTGTTTATTTTTTTGAAATTCTGTATAACTTGTACCCTTTTTCTGTTTTTCCCCCCTTAAATAAAATTAAAAAAAAAAGTAAAGATCTGTTGCAATCCAGACCAAGACAGTAATAACAGAAGACAAATGTTTTCCATTTTAAATATTTTCTTTGGTCTTTGAAAACCCTCAAAGGGTAAACTATTTTTATTTAATAGTGACAATTGATCTTCGAATATTCAGGACTATTAAAACCAAAGGGAATCCTTTTTTAATCAACCAGGTTAGAACTAAAATAAATGAAGATGTTCATATCACGCGTTCAGGAAGCAAGGGAGAAGAAGAGTAAATAAACTTTGACAAATAACCTTCTTTAAACAAATGAGAATGTTAGGAATCCTGCCCTGCCACACTCAGAGTTGCACTGTGTATTAGGCTAGTTTAGTAATTTTCTATAACACTCACATATTTAAAATGATAAATAATCATCAGTAAATATTTTTATGTCATTAGTTATAATGTTTCTTATTGCCTCAAGAGAAAAGAAATCACTAATCTGAAGAAATAAGAAACTGCTGGGAAAAAAAGCTATTAATGTAAAGTATCCACATTTTCATAATACGCAATATTTAAACCTGGCTCTCTAAAACATCCTATTCCAAAGGTGCTTGTTTTGAGGAGGAGGTCAATTGGCATAAATAATTAATATATAAATATTATCCAGCTCCTCCTAAGTTGTATTTTGTAATATCCTTATGTAATACAGTCCCCTGAACATGTACGGTACTTTATCATTAGAAAGAACATGGGCTTCATTTAATTGCCTAAAAATAATTACCTTGTTGGAGAGGACACTGGCGGGCAGGTGGGCTCCAAGACCATATCAAACCAGTTATGTCTCTTGTTCTGCAAGTCAACTGATCAAGCCAGACTGTTTACTGTTTCTATCAAGCACTCAGCATATTTAACCCATATTACTGCTGCGTAGATTTTATAATACACGCTTCACAAATTTAGCCAATATCCAGCATATTGAAACCTCTTTTTATACAATCACATGATTGCATTTCATCCTTCCCACACTGCAGGCTTATCTACTAGGTTCAAAAGCAATTCTCTCCTACCCCTGCTAGTTAACTCAGTAATCACTAGTTCTGGGTAGTCACTGAGTACTTACAACAGTGCTGATTCAAAATTGAAAGGAGTGCTACAATTACAAAGCATATAGCAGATACTGAAGAGTACATTTGTAAAAATAAATATTTTTAACTATTTAAATATAGCTACTTATGTGTGTGTGTATCCCCTATTATATTTTTATTATAGAGTGCTGCTTCAAAGTACTTTCCTTGAGAATGACCCGGGGTGTTCTTTGAAAGAGCAGGGTTTTAGTCCAGGCCTGTGGTATGCAGTGCAGGGCTGCATTTCCTTAATGGTCCCTTAGTGAACCTTTTACAGAAAACATTTGAAAATTGTTTTCCTATGGCTTCATATGTTAAGTATTTCCAAGAAGTTGGTCTCAGCTGGACCATTCACTGCCAGGTCCTGTGAGATTTTTTTATTCCTACTTAGTGTCTAATGAGGATATTAGAAACAGCAGTTTCTTTAGGCAATTACTCAACTCAGTGGTCAAGCTCAGGGTTCAGGGGAATTTGCAAGCATTTCATTTTTCAAGTAGAGTTGAAGAATGAGAGTTCTCAGTCTAGTACATAAACAGCACTCTACTGAAAATCACTGGAAAGAAGGCACCATGTTATACACTGATGAGATGCACTCCCAGAGACATTTGTGTGTATGAAGGGAAAGGTATCAGAACCGAAGGACCCTCCTTGAATAATGGTAACCAGTTAAGCTTATTTGAGAGGTTGCAGCATTGTCATGGGGCCCTTTGAAGAGTATCATGCATATAGAGAAAATAACGCATTAAACTTGTTCAATACGGAGTTCTATAAATACTATAATACAATTTTGCTGGATTGTCCAATTTATTGACTTTATTTCTGTCATTTTATTTCTGCAATCTGATAGAATCAGCAAAAATGTTGAAAACAGGAAACAAAAGCATAAGCAAAAGAAAAATCTATAGTTGAGAAAAATCACATACATTAAGTATATTTCTTACAAATAATAATAATAATAGTAGTAATAAATTACCATTACCATTTAATATAGACATGGAAAAACTAAGTCGTATGTCCAAATACACCACAGCCATCAGACATCTCAAGACACCTTCATCACTGACCAAGAGAGAAACATTAAATTCTCTTTGATGTGGTTGAAAGATGTCCACCAACTCTTAAGAACCATGGGAAGAGGAGAGAAGATGTGAGGCAAGGAAACAAAAGGACTAAAATGAGAGTTCCAACTCCAAAGAGAAGCAGCTGATGGAGAGAGAGGGTGAGAGGGCAGGAAGCTAACCGTGGTGAGTATTTTGGATGTCAGAAGTTCCTCAAACCCCTTTTTTGCTCTTTCTTGTTCCTTGACATCCCAACCCTTCAATCAGGTCTGTGAAACACATTTGGGCAGAAATTCGATGAGTGAAGTCTCATAAACCTATGGAAATACTAATGTTGAAAACTAAAGAAACAATGAACTTGAAATTGATTACCATATTTCTACAAGTTTTAAAATTCCTTAGTGTATACACTGTTCGGTATGTATACTGTTCCAAACTATTTCCAGTGTAGAGAGGAGTTGCCAAAATTTTGAAGTGAGATTTTACTGAAAATCATCGTCCTAGGTTTTATTATAGAGAAATTAAGAGAATGCGAATCAAAGCAAGAGAAATACAAGCCTGCCTTTTTGAATGTTATGAATTTTAAGCAAAGAGTACTATGTCTAGTTTGAGAATGTATATTTGTATATGGCAAATTCAAAATGGTATATTCTTGTTAATTCATTTAACACTGTTGTTAATTTATTTAAAATACTGTTTTATTTAAACTCAGTCATACTTGTGTAGAGGGTCCTTTGAAATCTATTATATATGAATGCATATGAATATTTACAACCTTATTTTACATACTTAATGTATTTATATAACAATAAAATGTAGTTAAGGAAAAAAAATTAACAATTGATTTTTTTTATTCTTTCATACAGATAACTCATGAAGTTCAATAACTTAGTATTCAAGCTCCATCTTTTCAGTCTACCTAAAAATAGAAACTTATCTTCCAGGACAGAACACAGAATGGCATAAAGTTGGCTGCTTGATTGCTTTTTTTTCATCTTTGCAAGGCTCTTTACTTCCACAATTTCCTAAAAGCCAATCTACCCAATTCTAGAAAACCCAATATCATCTATTTCACCAGAAAACTGTATGACCTTGAAGAAACTATGAAACTGCAATGAGAGAGAAAACAAACCAAATGGTTTCCTTATCTAAACATAAAGAAAATTATGGCATCCTTTACACAACAACTTTACCAAGCTTCTCCAAAGAATTAAAATTTTAAAAGGCAACACAGAGACCAATATCAATATATGTATGAATATATGAATATATATGAATGTGCTACAGTTTCTAAGAAACACGACCACTTAATTAATCAGAATAACTACATTAATTATTCTTCATTTAATATGCTTTCCTCTTTGCAAATTAAACAGCATTTAAAAAATCAATGACCAATCCCCAGTTGTTTAGTGCCGTCATTGCAATGGCATGCATCTAGGCCACCCTTTTCTCCTTCCCTGTTCATCGATGTGGAGCAGGGCACTTTCTTCATCTCCTTGAGTGTTCACACTGTTGCCAAGAATTAGTGTCTTTTGTCTTTGTGAATACTGTCTTGAAATATATATGCATGTGTGTGTGTGTGTGTGTGTGTGTGTGTGTGTGTTACAGAGTGAGAGAGAGAGAGAAAGAAACAGAGACAGAGATCTCAACAGAGATGGAGAGACAACATATAAAGACAAAGACAAAAAAAGAGAAGAAAAAAAAAAAAAAAAAAGGAAGAAAGAAAACCACAGTATCCAGATCCTTTAACGTTATTTTCAAAGCCTGTGTCAAAAATTTACCAGCAGTAACTGCCTCTATGGAACTACAGATAATTGCTTTAAATTCCATCAGTTTTTCCACTTGTCTACCAGTCTCCAATGGCTTCCCATGTCACTTGGAATAAAACTTTTACATAAGCTAACTCTAGGAATTTCTGAATTTATCACAGAATATTTGCCTTGTAACGTTCCTCTTCCCCAGCTCCTTCCCTCCAGCCAAGCTGGTTTTTAAGACTTTGTTTCAACTATCTCAGGCCTGTTTCTACATGTGCCTTTGCTGTGCTTTCTGTGTAGAAAAGTACTCAAGCTCCACATCATTGCTCCTTCCTGGAGTTTAGGTCAACGGTATACACCTATGGCTTGCATGCCGCAGCACACTACTGTACCACTGAAAGCTCGGAAGGGCTTGAAGTCATCCTCAGGCCCTCCCTGACAGACATACGTAGAATTTCAATCTTCACTGTCCCCAGTGCTCCTTCTTATTTCTGTATTGTTTCACAACAACTGTCATTACCTAAATTTAAGCTTTGCTTATTTATATCTCACTAATTATGTGCATCTCTCCACTAGAATGTAATCATCATAGAATAACTTCAATTTTCTTTTTCAACTAACACTGTTCTTTGTCATATTATACTGCTTTGAGCACTACCCGGAACATAGCATGATTTTATATATTTGGGGAATGTTTTTCGTTTACTAATGGATTCACTACACTAATCAGATTACGCAAACTGTTCTATAGGCTGTAATTAAGAGCGTACTATGTATGGAACTTTAGACATTTAATGATAAATTAGACATAAACCTTTTTCTTATAAAGGTCACATTGTTGTGAGAATAGGCATGTAAAAATTTAATTTCTATACAAAGTGATTAGTGTGTGTTAAATAAAGACTAAAGGAAGGAGACAACTCATCTGGTGTGGGAGGCAGGAAAGCACTGATAGGAAGTGATATTTGAGCTGAGTCATGAAACATGAGTGTACATCTAAGGAGTGAAGAAAGATCAGAAAGACACTTCATATAGAGAAAAGGGAATGTACAAAGGCATAGGGCTGACAACGGGAAAGCCCTGGTGGGCAAATAGCCAAGAGCTCAGAGTGGCTAGAGCGAGGTATCTGAAACAAATGTTCCCTCGCTTGCGAAGGCCCTTCCGCCCTGTTGTTCAATCACCACGTGATCCTACGTGGTGGCACTGACAGCTTTTACAAGCCAGAATGCTCAGGGTGATCCGGAAGGCAAGTCCACATTTTGGAATAATTCTTAATGCAGCGTGAAAGGTGGATCATCTCTGGACGGAGGCCAGGAAGTGGAGCAGAGGCAGTGCAGCAATAAGAAGATAATGAGTGCAATTTTGCATGTATTACACTGAGACTTGAGAGAGATACGGAAAGCAAATGTCACTTGAAAATAAAAGTCTTTCTGGCAGCTGGTGACTACTAAAATAAGGAGTGTAACCACTGATGAAATCTTTAGGAATACCACACAGAACGGGTGAAAAACGAGGATGGGAAAATGTCCAGAGAGGGAGGGGTGTACCAGAGTAGAGTGACAGCTGCTATGGTGAGTTCTAGGAGCAGAGCTTTGCAGCAGGAGTGGCCTGGCAAGCTGAGCAATCTAAGAGTCTTGGTAGCATGTGACTTAGTGAGAAGAGGGGTCACAGGGGTTAAGGTATATATCAGAGACCAGAGAGCTCACAGCCAAAATGGAAATGAAGAGAAGAATTAGGAGCCAGACATGGCGGCACAAGTAATCCCAGCACTCTGAGAGACTGAGGCAGACGGATTACAAGTTTGAGCTGAACTTAGGCCACCTAACCACTTAGCAAGATCCTATCTCAAGTATACAATTAAAAAAAAAAAAAAGGCTGGAGACACAGCTCCATGTAGAATTCAACACCCAGCACAACAGAAAGAAGGAGGAGGAGGAGGAGGAGTCGGGGAAGAGGAGGAGGAAAAGAAAAGAACAAAAACAAGAAATAAGATTAAAGTCTCCACTTCGTGATGGGAGGGAAGCCATGGTAAAATTAGTACTTTTTAAGAGGTTATAGATATGAGCATTTTCAGAGGCAAAAGAATTAATCAGAATAGAGACAATAGAAGGCAAGTAAAGAATGATTGATGAAGCCCTGTTTCAGAAGAAATGCAGAAGGTGACATGACATATAATGACAACGAATTCAGCCTTTACAGAAACTTTTTCTTACCTGACACAGAGACATAAAAGGTAAGAAGTTGTAATATAATTTGGGATGTCTGCATAATGTAATGTCTAAGAGTAAAGTCTGATGGATCAAATTTCACTTTTAATGCTTTACTAGTTATATAATATTGGGCTACTTAAAACCCTGTGTGCCTCAGTTTCTTCATCTAGAAATGGAGGAATGATAATAATTCCTTCCTCTTGGGTTATGACACTGACATGAACCAATCCTCTCTTCATACAGTTCTCTTTGGACAGTGGCTGACCCTTCTTGGTCACAAAGAAAGTATTTCTTAATCAAGTAGAAGGGCGAAGATGTTCCAGGGGTGCTGGCTGGTTTTGTGAGGGAAAACAAGCCGAGAAACATGCAGTGCTCACGAAGCCTGTGTGTAACAGGCTATCAGATGCAAACTTCACAGATAGAAACTGTTACACAGCGAGCCAAAGCTCTGCTAGTACCTCCAGCCACCACCAACAGATGATGAGAGCAGGGACTGTTACAAAACATTTAAATAACAAATTCTATTTCATACATGAGAGTGGGAGAGAAAAAGAGCTTTCCTTATTCATAGAGAATTATCTATAGCCATAAACACGTGGGTTGCTTAAATTTGTGAGATCAAACACATTCATCCAATATTATAAAGTAACACAAATGCAGGTGAGTCCTATGATGAATCTTAGAAGCAGTGAAGTCATACAGCCCAGATTCCAGCCCAGCTGGCTAGAAATTTTGGCATGTTATTAAACCCAGAGCTTCAGTTTATTCATCTGAAAAAAACTGGAGAAAAGTAATACTCATCAGCACTCTTAAGAGTAAAGTTTTACAACTTACACACACCTTGCCCAGGGATTGATGTACGAGAGATTCTTGAATAATACAGATTTCCTTATACCTTACTGTTAGAAGGTGTTGAAGAAATATGAACATTGCCAGTTATGTGCACACATTATAAATCTCCACCAGCTACCTTCCTTGTTAAACTACAGAATTAAAAAAATGTAAAAAAAAATGCATATGGTTTTCCAAATGGTTGACTTAAAATATTTAAATACCAAATTGGATTGAAGATAAAATGCTGAAATCCTGTAAAAGGTATGTGTGTCACTTGAAAAGTGATGAATCACTTTAAATGTCTACACACCTCCCTGAATAGGATTATTTTGTGACCTTCATTTTTTTTACAGCAATAAAAGTACCTTGAGCTTGACAAGATTTATTGTCTCCAACTAATATTTCCTGCATTGAGTGTGAATTTTATTCACATTAACTTCTTACATTTTAAGGCCTTTCATTCATAACTTTTTAAAGAATACAACACCTTAGACCCTAAACAATCTAAAATAAATCACTATATCATGTTTTCTGCAGAAGAAGGGACCATAATAAAGTGATACATTTCTACTCACATCAATGGGGCTGCTTGAATATGACAATGGCCTTCCTTTTCATTTGACAAATGACTTGGGGACAGTGTGCTGTTTGCCAGATAGGGAGCTAAGCTTACCTCAGGACCTATTCTAGTGAGTCATGTGGAGGTTAACACTAGTTGCTGTTATTACAGCCTCCTCCCTGTAGAAAAAAATATACCCTGATGGCTCTGAGCAGATAAGAGGGAACAAAATGCTTCCCAGATTGTTGAGTCCAAATTGGCACAGGATGCCCAACCTGATTCCAATTTCAGGAGGCTATATATACAGTTATCAGTGTATCTTATAAAAATGTATTGTAGAAGCACATAGTGCTGCTATGTTTGATAGCTTTTCTCACTAATAACGCTTTTAGGTAAAGTCAAGCTTTCATTAGTACAATTCATTATACCCAAAATGAAACCACATTTTATTTCAAATTATACACAGAAGGACTCAACTTTTCCAATATCACTCTTTGTTTATATTTGTAATGAAATCACAAAGTTCTGGTAAACACTTTTGTGGGGAGGAACATGGAAAAGGCTCCACCACAGCATCACATATGTGATACATGTTTATGTCTTCACTGCAAGTTAGATTGTAAGCGCCATGAGAATAGGAACGTATATGTGTAATAAATGTATAAGTCAAAAGGAATGCATATGTGTAATAAATACTCACTGAATAGTAGAAGAATGATTTTTCCCTTAACAAGGCCTAGAAAGTGTCTTTTCTGTTAAAAGTTTAGCTCAATTCTGCCTTCTACTGTGTGTCAAAAATATACAAAGCACCAAGCACACAAGATGCTAACTTGTGTGATAGTCTGCTGTTCACGTGTGTCCACATGAAGGGCTTGCCTACAACATATCTACAACATACAGTACACATGGCATCACAAGCCACATACTTTGAGTTTCATGTGGAAGTGTATTTCTTTCACATTTCTTTTTAATTTAACCACATTATCCTTTGGGAAAATACACCATTCCCACATTACAGCAATCGTGTTTAAACCGAGCCCTTCTCTCTGCTTTGTTATCAATAAGAAAGAAGGTTATAAAGGTTATCTTTATTTTCACAGCTCAGGACACTTGAAGGGAAATGAAATATGTACCAAAAATGAAATGATCCTGTATAGCGGAAGTAAGCAAATGTCTGACCTTGTCCTGTAGAGTGCCTAGAACTGTTTATAGTGACTCAAACAGGCACGCAGGCATGATACTGACATTGGTGGTATTTTATCCACAATAATCACAGCCTGCTGAGAACTCTTCCACTTCCACTAATACATTTTAATCAAAGGTTCCCGGAATTGTAACACTACTTATTCCTCTCAAAACTTCCCAAAATCCATGACAACAAGTTCAAGTGCTCCCATTTTGAAGTCAAATAACTTTTAAATTGGGTTACAGTAACAGGGCATTCTTTTACTTCTTGGAGAATGAATTAGCATTTATGCAAGCATCTTCCATGTATGAGGCCAAGCTTCACTCATACAATCTGATCTGATTTCTAGTTACTGTTTCTACCCCTAAAGATGATATGAGACAAGACTGGCTGTATGAACATCTGAGTTCCATCACCAACTTCTTCTACCAGTATTAATCTCTGAGATTCCAACCTTCAGCAATAAACAAAAATAACTCAGCACGATTTCCAAAATAAAGTCACCAGCAAAAGAAGAGCCCATATTTTGCAACATTGGCTTGTACTGTGAACTTACCTCACATTCAAATGAAAAGATAACTTAGAAAATTTGGATTATTTTTCCAGAAGTGAAAATAGTAAGGCTAAAATACCTATTTGCAAAGAATTTTTCGATCATGTTTCAGATTCAAACCTGAAAGAACCTGGTAATTACTGCTGTCTCTTCACTTTGCACATCAAATTCCTTGGCTTTGATTTGTGTTGGATAAAAACGCCAATGGTCTTCCTCTATCAAGCCAGAGAAACCAACAAGACAAGAAGGTAAAGTATGGAATAGGTTAGAAGACTGAAGAGTAGGGAGCACTCAGACATGTGCCTCCTCCTTAAAAATAATCATGCAGTTTTCTCTCTAATAGGAATTATAGAACAAACCGTATCTTGCTTTCAAAAATCCTTATAGAAACAGAGATACTATGGAAAACAGGCAAATAATACAATTTTTAAATGGTAGTGGGGAGAAAGAAAATTACATAGCCAAATAATTCCTTAATTTTATTCTAAAAATATTATCTAGACAAAAGGAGAGATGTGCAAGTGCCTATCAGATGGAAGAAGTGTGTAATCATGCCTAAAAGGATATACCATAATAAAGTTCCTTCAAAATCTGATTGTCCATACCAAATGAACTCTACAACTCTATACAAAAGTATTGCCCCTACAAAACATGGCCCTTAGTTGTATGGTGTTATGGTTTTGGTCTGGGTGTCCCCATCAAAGCCTCATGCAGTCATAAGGGTGTAGGCTTCTAGAGTTTGTGACTGATTCATGGTCCAGTGCTGGAATTATGCATATGAGTGCTACACCAACCCTAGGATACACGGGCTAGGAAGAGTCTTCTCCCCTTGCTCCTCCCTTCTTGCTCTGAGTTTGTTGGCTCCTGCCGCCATGAACTGTTGCCCCTGGGCCATGAGGCACTCTGCCTTGGAGCTAGCAGATTATGGACTAAAACTTCCACAAACTGTGAGTTAAACAGATAAACCTTTTCTTTCTTAGCTTTGTGTGTGGATATTTTGTCTCAGCAAAAGAGAAAAGTAACCAACACAGATATCAAAAGATTAAAGCAGTTTATGGAAATCAAGCCAAATATATATGCATTCATATTGAAATAGTGACAAATTTAGGAATATACACATCAAACTTCCACAACTGTGAGTTAAGTAGATAAACCTTTTCTTGCTCAATTTTGTGTGTGGGCATTTTGTCTTAGAAAGAGAGAAAAATAACCAACACAGATGAGAAATAAAAAGATTAAAGCTGTTTATAGAAATCAAGGAAAATATATATGCATTCACACTAAAAGTGTCAAATTTAGGGATATACACAGCATATAAAATCTGAGTCCTAATTACACAGCTCACAAACTTTTAAAGATCTGTTTCCCAACCATGACTATTTTACAACTTTTCTAAAAGATAAAGATAAAGGAAATATTTTGCACTGTGTATGTGAGGATTAAAGCAATATTTATAGTCAAGAAATAGAAGAAGGACTCTTATTCTTAAAACATTTCTGAGATGTTTGATCCTCCAGCACACTAATCAGAATAGTCTAGCAAAGAATATGTGTTAAGTGCTATCACTTTTGAACATCAAAATGCCTCAGTAAAATCTTCAATAAATTAAGCTCACTCAGAAATAATTGCATCTGTGCAGAACCAATTATAAGATATTATTTTGAATGTTTTTAATTTAAAGACAAAATTGTGAGGGATTCATATAACACAAGTGTGTAGCAGTTGGAATTGTTTTTACTTATGTCCACTTATACATTCATAGCAGTATTTGTCTAATGATTGTCTAATACTTTAAGATTTAATATCTCAACATGGTACACAATGTTCTTGGAAATTGAGATTCCACTTAATTTTACAAGTTCATCAACTACAGTTTCTATTCTAATAACGACATTCTATCTATTGTTTCATTATGTCAGAAAGCACCTGGCTGTCCTGAAGGGCTCTATCAATGTCACATTTGATACAAGACCTTTTACACCTTAGGGAAAAATTAGGATGTCTCTTCTCTAACATTTTACCCATAAATGCTCTAAGTGTAGCAGTACTCTACGTGGCTGTGTCTTCTGCTACACCAAAGCTGCTTAAAAAATGGGTAGCATTTCACATTTTCTTCTTGTATCCTCTGTACCTAGCAGACAATAAGCCATCCAAAATTTTGGCACTAATGAATTGACATAAACAGTTGACAAAGACAGCAATCTGACTCTGACTGTTTTCATATAATAAGCAAAACATCCCCAATGAAAAAATAATTTGCAGATGCATTTCTTATTTTCCTCTTCTGTAAATCTGTATGAATGGCTTTTTCTTTCTGCATGTACATGATCCTATCCTCAGATCTCATTTCTTCATGTCTCCTAGAATTGAGTATTAAATTGAGACAATGACTCATAGTTGGGGTTAAATATACTCTTTCTTAGCCCCAGAACACACTTACGCTGTCCACCTCACCCTGAGTCACTGTGATCATTTTCTAGCCACATGGTCAACCAGTGCAGACTACACTGACAAAGTCCCTTGCCTGCTGGCTGGGTTTGGCTGGGGGAAATTCCCAGTCAGTCTAAAAAGAGAGAAGAAATATGTTAGCATATTTACTCCACAACTTGTAGTCTATATGGTCACTTAGGGCAGCCCTGTCCAAACTCTTCTTCTTTCTCAGACAATGACATTCTACTTACCTAGCAAGGAGCAGAACATAGTGGCTATTACAACATCTCTCTGCCATGCTATTAATGATATTTGTGTAGGGTATCTTTACATTATGAGATCCTGCCTTGTGCCCTGCAGGGTATTAGTATCATTCTTAGCATTTATGCACTTAGAGCTTGTATAGCAATTTACCATTTATAAATTATCTTCACCATTTAATCTGACTTGAGCTACAGAAATTTACAAACAGATATTATTAAAATCATTGCTATACATGAGCAAGTAAAAGCTATAACTAATAATCTAGTATTTCTGCACTTAATTATATGGTAGATATTAGATGAAAATATATATTCATATATATTATACCCAAATCATAACTTAAGTCCCATTGTATAACTGTCTTAAACGTACATATTGTATTGAACAAGAGTATATTGTTATTTGCCTCAATTTCAGTGTTTCATCAGCAAGGTTTTATATGAGAATAAAAATCATAGAAGTGTCTCTGGGCATTATATTAAATGTGAGTGATACAGTCCGTCATCTATTATCTCTTTTTCTTCCTCACAGAAGAATAATGTTACAGGCATGTTTTATTGACAATTGGAATCCTCTTCAAAGATAATGTATTCAGAATCTTTTCTACAAAAAGCCCACCAGGACTACAATGAAAGATAGAATAACTCCAGGCATGCTCATGTATTTGATCATTTTGTGTAAAATCAAGAGAAATGCTTAATGCATTTCAGAGTTCCTGAGGCTGCTTCAGTCCTTCCTGCTCTCTCTGCCTGCTACCTTGAAGAAGTAGAAAACAACACCTGTTAAAACCTGCACATCGAGACAAGAAGACACAAACTGTTATCAGACTTTAAGTCTCTTCCTTGAGGCTGAAATGTAAAACCTGACACTCTTAATTTAAAGGAGAATGAGTCTATTTTGGCTCACAGTTTGCGGTGGTTTTAGCACAAAGTCATCTGACTGGAAAGCAGGCAACAGAACTTGGGGACATGGTAGAAGACAGCTGCTCAGGCATGGTATCCAGGAGCAGACAGAATCAAGAGAAGGGCCGGGAAGGAGATGAATCATTGAGGCCATGCTTCCACTGATCACCTCTTCTTCCAGCCAAATTCTACCTCTTAATATCAAACCAGCTAACAAAACCAGCCCCCTAATGCAACCGTCTTCTAGATGTCCTGCTCTGATCTCAGGAGGTTTGAAAGGAAACATCTTGACTTTTTTTCAGCATCAATGAGTATTTTTCATTGAAGAGGGGAACATCTTGTTGCATTCACTATCTCCAACAAAAGTGCGTATGGAAGTAAACCGAATACATTCAGGAAAACTATGACAAAATTACATTCTCTAATTCACAATATATCCCCTTCTCTATTGACAACTTCTAGTGCAACATTGGTGAGTATGGATTCCTGCAATGAAAAAAATCATAAGAGGTAGAATATAAAATGAGAAGAGATATGAGTCAGCCTGATAGGTTACATCTTACCCATATTCAAGATGGCCCTGAAATGGTAACCACCAAGTGATTTTTTTTTTTTTTTTATGATCTCACAGTCAGGCTACATCCTAGAGAATGAAGAAACTATCCTTCAATGAGTTTCTGTATACACATTAGTCACTGACTTAACCCTCACAGTAGCCCTACAGGTTAGACCGTGTTATATTCAACTTACAGATTTAAACATGGAAGCTCAGGGAAGTAGAATCAGGTCTATTTCCCCTCAAGCCCAGCTTCATTTCTTTCTGCTTCTCATTGCAGTTCACTCAAATTAAATCTAACTACAATGATAGAATTTGAATTTTTGGATAAACTGAACAAATAATTTGAAAATGTTGCAAAGTTCTGTGATCTGAATAGAGAAATTCCTACACTGGCCATCATGGTAACGGCCTACATTTCACAATATCTGGCAACTTTGGTTATGAGAATAAATGTTTTATCTTACATGGAAAATACTAATCACTTCACCATGCTCTGTTCTGAAATTTTTTAATCCTAGTACATTATATTGAGGGAAAAGCAAAATTTGGTGGAGGTAATAAAGTACAGTAGAAGTACTTGGGGATAAAAATACAGAATGTAAAGACTGTAGAATAAAAATAAAGTCTGACTGAAGACTATTCAGTCTAATAAATTTCCTTCATCAAGTGTTTAGAATGTTTGCTTGTCAGACCTGTAGTAGCTAGAATTATGACTCTCCAAAGATGTGCAACATGTTGACCTTAAAAATAGGAATCAAGCACCAACAAATCTAGGCAGTCTCTAGAAGCCAAAAAAAGACAAGAAAAGAGCTTCTCCAACAAAAACACAGTCTTGCCAACATGTTGACTTTTAATGTAGTCAATTTTTTGAAATGCTTGCTAATTTAGGCCATGTAGAAGCAATAGGAAATCCATACATGACTAAAGGCAGGCAGCAAGACACCTGGAAAATAATGGTTAATTGTGTTAGACAATATCAAAAGGGACATGGATCAGTTTCCTGGTTGCACAGTAAAAGAGTGTCTCCATTTTCTTAGAGACAGTTCAACGTTATCTAGATAAGCCTAAGAAAACATAATAATATTACATACAAATTGTTTCATTCAATGTCTTTTTAAAAATTCTAATATAGCCTGCTATGATGGAGAATAATTCAAAACTGAACTAAAATCTTGAAAATATTAAGACACATAATGTATCTGGTTTAGATGATTAAGTCCTTTGTCCACTGTGTGGACAGTCCAACACAGTGAGTATCTATTTATTATTTTCTAGACTACATAACTAAAGCCTAGAAACAGAAAAGACAAGGGCATAACAAAAGAAACATCAGTGCCTGAATGAAAAGAATTTTTTTCACCAATAGTTGGAAAAAGTCGAAGCAATTTTGCACCAAGTCAATTTCTAATTCCTACAATCATTAGTTATGTTAAAAGACGAAGTCATTAATATTCACCAGTATAAAAATAATCTCAATGAAAAGATCCCAGTCCATGTGTTGGCTCAAACCACTGCCCTGAGAGAATTAGGTGCTGCAGTATTTTGTGAAAGTAAATGGGGCAAATTTCTAGAATTGGTATTGAAATTAAGGTCTCAGGAGACTGGAGAACCTGACAGTAGAAAACACTAGGAAACTCAGGTCCCAAAATATGAAGGGAAACTACACTAAAGTATTTGTTCCAGAACATCCATTCCTCAGCTCTCTCTTCACGCTGCAGGGCCTTACAATTGGGCCTAAACCTTAGAAAATCTATCTGAGGATTCTTGCACAAAGTAATCTCCTTTGAGGGTTTCCATTTACCCTCCTTTACCCTAAGGAAAGACAAGAAGACAAGGGCAGTTTTTAGATGTAAGCTTTCCACTTGGTGCTTCTATTTAATACTTTGAGAAATGATAAAATACAACTTCAAATTTTTTTATTGCTATTGTTATCTAGGCTAGAGTTATCAATTTCTGATATTTCCTGGGAGTGAGAGATTCTAGATCTTGAATTATTGTAGGGTAAAATCTCTTTAGAATAAGTGCATAGAATATCTAGAGAATATACATAGAATATACAGTTATATGCACTAATGTAAATACATTTATATATAAATTATATAATGTATATATTTGACATATATATCAAATAGAATTAGTAACTTGGTGACATCAGCCCTAAATAAAGAGTACATATTATTTATTTTCCACCTACACAAGGATCCAGGAGTCTATTTTCAGTTTCATCTTTAATAGCAGGAATTGAGAGACTAAGAGGGATACAACAAAAACATGCATGATGTCTCATATGAGCTACTGCATTAGAAAGCCTCACATCTGGAATTTCAATTCTTCCAGTATCCTCCAGAAATAGAAATATAACTTGGAGTGGCACTATCTAAAATGTTGTCATCAACCAGTCACTTAAGCAGGATTATCTGAAAGCTGGTTGGCAACAAGTACCAGTATTAATAGAATACATGGAACTGTAGGTGCTCCAGCAAAATGGGGCACAATAAAAAAAAAAATGAAAACACCTAAAAATAACTATAAATTATTGAAAAAATAATGATCATGATTTTTCTCGGGACGTGAACACTTTCTACAAACTATGCATTAAAAATACAGGGTGTAAAACTATGTGACTATTTTTAGGATGATGTAATTTATGACTCAGATGAATTGTTACATTCCTCAAAGAGATTGCCTGGGGACGGTGTAAACATTCCAGTAATGCTGCCATAAATAAAAGCATCTACACAGCTCCTCCTATGGAAGTTCCTTCAGAGCATCTGTCCTTCTACTTTGAACCGCAGTGATAGGAACAGTTCCATTCTGAAGGTGTTTTGATATCTAAAAATAAATAGAAAACATCTTGCACCAAGTCTGAAGAATGCAGACTGAACAGTAGCAGTAAAGTTTGATTTTGGTCAAAACCACAGAATAAGAAGATGCAGTGAAGCTAACTGAATTGCTCAATAACTGAGTCTAATATTAACAATCAAAGAAAAATCCATTAGAAACCCATAAAGAGCAAGAGCAGTTGAGATATAAATGACAGTGCAAAGAAAAATACATTTCAATTCGGTTCCAGTGAGCACAGTTGATGCCCCATGGCCAAGGTTGCAATATTGATGCAAGTCTATGAAGTAGAAAGAAATCAAAGCAGAATCATAATTTTCTTGTGAGTCATCTGTCAGCATCAACATTTCTAGGAATTAGTAAGTCCTTCCCCAGGGTACATGCGGTTCCCATTAAAACCCTTAGCCCGATACAGTATTATTCCTCCCCAGTGGTGACTGTCTCCCCCACAAGATTGTAAGATCCTATTTTGTATACAGGTACAACAGCATATCAAAAATTAGGAGTCAAATGAATCAACAACATGTAGGCAAGTAAATTCCAGTAACATTGTTATAGTCTCATGCAAGGTCCTATTTTATCTAGAATTATGTTATTATTAGGGACCCAGGTTAGGCAACCTTGAGTTTTACTTCTGATGTTACTGGGTTTTAGTTATGTGACCAAGGATTGTTAGAAACTTGCTGATACAAAAATGATCCCACATTTGTTAGTCCTTTGTGGTCTTCTCCAGGCAGTTGTCATAGTGAAGCTGAGCAACCATTCAGTGTTTGAAATATTCTTATCACTGAGCCGCTTGGTACTGACTTCTGACTTCCTTTGAGACAGTGAGAAAATGTAGCCTGCTTGGCGGGAAAATGAAGACAGAGCAAGTACAGAAGCTTACAGGATGCCACCGGGGAAAGAAAAGAGCAACACCTCATAAACCGCGGCTGCTGCCCAGAAGGCTGCAGGATCAGGGAGACAGATTGCCTGCAACCAGCGCCTCGCAGGAAGGCTGCCAAGAACCGAATTTCCAATTTGCTGAAGTCGTTATTTTAGCAATCTTGCACTGCAACTTGAAATCCAGTGAGATAGTTAATAACAGCATCTTCTAAAATCACCTTTCAAAAATGCCTATATTCCTCCCCCATTTCAGTGTTTCCCAAAGTGATGCTTTTTTATTTTTATTATTTTTAGTTTGAAATTCAAATGTATGGCAGTTTTGGCTGCTTTAAAATGTAAAGCAGTTTGAACTCCTCGTGGCAGTTTACAGGGTTTGCCAATGTGGGCAAGACTGAGGGAAAGGCTTGGGGGTGAAGAAGCACAGGATGCTGTATTTCATTCCCTAGCGTTTTCCTCGGGGCTTGATCTTTTTTTTCAGAGCTTTTCAACTAAAAGTTTAGGGGAAAATGTAGGCAATCATGAAAGTACAGAAAGATATAACTTCCAATCTATATTCCCTTAATACTTTTTTCCTTACTATCATTTGCCTTTGATGAAAAAGTTCCTCCATTTTTTTTCAATTATTCAATAAAAAGGCCTAGCTAGAAACCAGCTTAAGTGATTGAAGAAGAAGAAGAAGAAGAAGAAGAAGAAGAAGAAGAAGAAGAAGAAGAAGAAGAAGAAGAAGGAGAAGAAGAAGAAGCCAAACATTTTTTGGACCTCTGAGCAAAATACTTGATTTTTTTTTTTCGTTTTGTAAATTGAGACTTTCCTCTCTAGTTCTAAAGCATATTTTTTTCTTCTTTCTTCAATAAGACATTTCAGTGTCTTTTTTTCTCAAGGTGATAAAATAATGTGTCTTCAATCCTTCACAGATGAGTGCTAGGAGTGAAATGTGACAACTTAACACTACTATTTTTGGAAACAAGATCTTCTCTTTAAGAAAAAAAAAAAAAAAAAAACAATTCTCCCAGGGAAATACTTAGGTTCAGCTTTGCACATTATTACTTCACTTTTTAAAATCTCTCTCCATCTTCTTCAAAGATACTTTATTTACTATAATATGTCAAAAAAATCACATCAGTCACTATTCAAAGTTTCATGGTTGTACTTTCTTACAGTTTGTCACATTTCTCATAGAGTATAACATTAATTAGTAACAGAAAAAGGATGCTGTCTGGTAACCTGAGCAACTATTTTGAAGGTAACTATGCAAAATAACAGCCATCGTTAAATTCCTATCACCTTGCTTTAAAATCCTAGATCACTATTATTTCTGTTGCTGTTGTTGCTGTTCTGTTGTTATTTTGCTTTTGTTGTTGATTTTTGATTGTTTACTTATTGATTTTTGTTTTTTCTCTTTAAAAGAAAAAAAAAAAAAAGAGAGATACGAAATAGTTGAGTGATACTTCCTCAACAACAAAAACAAAGCCAAAAGAAACCTACAAAATCGGCATCTGCCTCCCAGTTAGGATCTCACTAACCAGAATCAAGGCATATTATATGTTGCCATGCTTTTAGTTATAATGATTTTTCATTTCAATTTCTTTTTATATAAGGCAGCCTGTGATGAATAATTTCTGATATTAAACAATACTGAAACAAATTTTGTAGTGCAGATGGGAGTGCCTTCAGCAGCTACAAATTCTAAGATTAAGCTGATTCACAATGGCCAGCTGTGAACAGAGGTAAGGGTTAGCATCATGTGTGGCACAATAGGTCAGAATAGGACTTTTTCTGGGTTTCCTTTACTAAAGCCTTACACAAATCACTTTTTCTCTTTAGGACCTAAAACGTACAATGACTCTTGATGCTGAGTTAAGAAAGATAGAGACATGCACAGGTAGATTGCAAAACAGTATACGGATCAATTTGTCCAATCCAAAGTATGTGTGCTCCTCTTAATGCAGCATGCAGGTACTCCTATATTTACTACAAGGTAACATAGCAGGAGCACTCATCATTTTAAATTCCTTCAGGGTGTGCCCTTAACTAGTGATTAGGAAACAATATGTTGCATCATTATGAAATTGTAAGCATACTGGAAACCTGAGGTCTTCATTAAGCCATTTCATGGTTATAAACAGAACACTGACATGCATGTTGGCATCTAGGATTCCCTGCTTTGTGGGCTAGTGGCAGTTGTTTATATTTTACGAGGGAACAATCATAAAGTTTAAGATGAATAACCATGTGTTCTCAACAATTCATAACCACACACTTTTATTATTTGTTCACTGCATGATCTTAGTGTTGATATGTTTATTACGGGGGAATAAAAACAGTTGCCACTTGGCCAGACGAACATGCAAACACAAAAACTTTCAAGTGTAGCCAGGAAACATCTTGTGAAAGATGTGATAATATACAAATAATGAAAAATGAGTTTTACCAAGTTCTTAGAATATAATTGTGACAATCATGCTGAGTCCTCAATCTTATCTCTTCTTTTACTCTTCTTTAAAATGTGACAATTTATTGAAGTTTATGGACTGATAATGAATAAATCAACTTCAGACATTAAATGTAAACAAAATTTGCATAATGAACCAAAATGATCTAGCTTCTAATCTGCTTAATATTCTACTGATCTAGTAATTTGCATAATTTATTGCATAATTTATTTGAGGCCAATAGTCAATAACCAAAACTATTTCCAGAGCTGTGTGTCATGAAGTTGAATCTTTCCAAATGAGAGTTAACCTTTTAAAAGAGCTCTGTGTTGAACTCATAAGATTTCATAAGAGATCTAATGGTGAATAATTACGTTCTTTACCTTTTTATATTTCTATTAATAGGAAACAACCTCATTGTGGTAATATTTTAACAAATGTTTATTGAGTAAACACAATCCTGTAAGTACTTCAGTGGTGTAAGGAACACAGCCTCAGAAGTTGATTCACCACATTTAAAAATTTTTTTTCATTCCTTTTGATTCTTAAAATTTTTGAAATCACTCTAATAGTCAAATCAGTGTAGATAATATTCACAGAGGTATTATGCAACTGAGTCTAAGACTGTTTCAATGATAAATATTTTGAGCCAGGTGGTCAGTTGAAAAAGTGTCACAAAGCAAAAAGAGTTCTGTATTGCCTAAAATTTGAGGGTTCTATGTGGGATTTTGAATATATCTCCTGCAAATTTGAGAAATTGGTGCAGGTCATATTTTAATTAAATGTTTAATAATGCACACCTAACTTAAGTAAACATAAGTTATTGAAAGTTTTTTATAAGCAATTGTTATGGTTTGTACATGGACGTCCCCCAAAAGCCTCATGCAGTCATGGAGGTGTGTGCTTTTTTGTGGAGAATGAATCTAGAGTTTGTGACTTACTTATTCTCTAGTGCTGAGATTATGGGTATGAGTGCTACACCACCCTAGGATGGGTAGCCTACATACAATGTAAGGAACAGAAGGAGTCTTCTCTTGTGCTCCTTTCATTTTGCTCTTGCTGCTTTTTCTATTTTCTGTCATGAGCTATTGCTCTTTGCCATGAGCCCCTCTGCCTTAGACCCAGCAGATTACGGAATGAAACCTCCACAAACTGTGAGATAAATAAAACTTTTCTTCCTTAATTTTGCATGTCAGATATTTTGTCTCAGCAATGAGAGAAGCATAATTAAGACAGTAATTCATTTTTAACTTTAAACTATTGGTGATGCCTTAAAAATTAAAGCAAGACTTTTTTTGTGAAATGTAAACAAGATGTGCTGTTTAAAAATTTTGCCCCAAAATCTTAGTCTCCATAAAAAATTTATTTCCTTCTTGAGTCAAATTTCAATTTGCCAAAAATGGCTGTTTTTTCTACTTGAATCAATTATATACTCTTCATTTAGTTAATGTGGAGAGTGATGAGCACTAATGGGGAGTAGCTTGTTTAGAATCACACAGTGTGTAAATGGAAAGCTGAAGTCTGTGTAGCGACAGTTCAGCTACAGAGGCCACTACTCAACCACTGAACATCTGTGAAGTAGACATGTCTATATCACAGTCAACTCTTTTATGAGAAGGAAATTAGATACAGCTTGCTTTTCTGAAGGCCATCAGTGATATTTCAACCTCACTATTTTAATATCTTTTACTATCTTCTAGAAATTAGGTCACTTAGTCCTTTTTTTATAGTACACATTAAACCTTAATCAAAGTGCATGTCCAGAGATGGTAAGGTGGATAATTATACCGATCGGTATTCTTCCTTCTACATGCCTGTGTTTCTCAGAAACACTTCATACTTTTTTTCTTTTTCATCCTTTTAATATTCTTTGTTTTATTCTATCCTTACATACTGTGTTGCTATTACTATTCTTTATTTATTATGCTATGAAACTGAAAACTTTATTTATTATGCTACTGAAAGCATGGGACATTTTTGTTTAGTTTGGTGATTGGGTTTATTTTCTCCACTGCCTACAACAGTACCTTGAATACTCTTGGCATATAGTAGTCACAAATACTTGCTCTGTGGAATACTGTGTTCCTTAGTGTGCATATATTATACATACATATGTATATATGCCCATGTAAATATAATATATGTGCCTTTATTAAAGGCAAAACACTTTTAAAAAGTCAAAAGTTTAAGTTAAAAAGTGAATCTCAGTGATCTTGAATATTTTATACAGGGTTTGGAAAAACGTAGGCACTAATCTTTTGTTCCTCCCATCTATGGAAATGTCACTTCTATCTAAAATTGACCTTGCAATCAACAGTTAAATATATAATGAAAAGCAGATATAAATACAATTTTAACATACCTCTCTGTTTACACCATAATTATTGTCATTTCTTTGCCCAGAGGAATTTTCAGCTTTTTACTTATAAATGCTAGTAGTCAAAGTTGGGTTTGGTGGCTGAGTTCTCTGGCCACATCTGTAATCCAAGAATTTTGGGAACCTGAGGCAGGATGAATGCAAGTGGTGGGCAAATTAAAAGCCCTACTCCCCCTCCCCAATTAAAAAAAAATAGGTCACTGCAAAGATCCTGGGTTCAATTCCCAGTAGGACACACACACACACACACACACACACACACACACATGCACAGAGAGTTAGAGATCAAGATAAGAATGTAAATTAGCACTAGAAGCTCAGAAAAGTACTTATTAGGAAACCTCTACTTAGCTATTATGGTTCATTGCCTTGAAATGCTAGCCAAAAGACAGGAGAGAACATCTCACCCAGGCTTTGATGAGTTTGTCCTGTGTCACCCTCACATTCCTCACATCACACTGGATGAATACAGAAATTCAGATTGCTTGTTATGGATTTTAGCACCTGACTTTTTATCCAAAAAAAAAAAAAAAAAAAAAAAGATGAAGGAAATCCTTAATTAATTTGTCCTTAGTTTGGCCTCATGTTGAAAAGTTTACAGTATACATACATAGTAATAATAATAATAAGTGGGGAATTGCTGAGAGTTTAGTACTAACTTCCAGGACAGGTCTAGGTATTTCAGAATCAGGCCCACTGGATCTCATCGTGATCAACAGTGTAATCATGTGTGAAAAATTCACGTAGACTGTACCTACAGAAAAGGAATGATTGAGTGTATATTTTTATTTCAAGGGACTTCCTACTGCATTCCATTTGGAACTTAAGGTGGAATATATACTTAGGTACTTAAGATTCAGCATTAGCATTGTCATTAAAAGTAAGTGTTACATTTGTGGAACAATGTTTTGACTTTTATGTAAATACTGATTTTACATTAATTAGAAAGCTTACATTTACTTATTGGCTAGCAAAATTAAAATAGTTACAATACTATTTAGTACCATAAATCTCTGGGAAAGCTGATAAGTACAAAAAAGCATTCAATCATGTGCACAAAAGGTTATACTCATAAAGTTAAAAAATATGATTTAAAGTATTATTTTATTTACACATACTTTTTCACAAAAGATATAGGAATTCTATCCATTTTTCATAAATTGTACGAGGGCTTGTGTAAGGTTGCTGTTTGGATCTAATCTGGAAAGCAAAAATGAAAAGGATGCAGTCCCAGGAACGTAGACTGTGTATGTAATGCATGACAAACTTGTGAGGGGATGATGGTCCAGTCTAATGTATTTTTGTTTAGACCAAAAATAGACTATGTTATGGACTGAACTGTGCTTCCTTTCAAATTTGTATGATGAAGTCATAATCCTTAAAGTGACTGCTTTTGGAGATAGTGCTCTAAGATTAAACGAAGTCACAAGGTTAGCACCCTAATCTGATAGGACATGTCCTTGTAAGAGGAAGGAAGGGTCATTGAAGCCTCTCTCTGTGTGTCTGTCACTCTCTGCCTCTCTCTGTCTGTCTCTCTCTGTCTCTCTCTGTCTCTGTCTCTCTGTCTCTCTCTGTCTCTGTCTCTGTCTCTGTCCCTGTCCCTCTCAGTCTCCCTCTCCCTCTCCTTCTCCCTTTTCCCCTCTTTTCTTCTGTCTCTCTCTCTGAACATGCACAGAGGAAAAGGCACCCAAGGACAGAGAGAAGGTGACTGTCTACAAACCAGAAAGAAAGGCCTCATCAGAAACTAAATTTACCCCACCACCTTGATTTAAGAATTCTACAGACTACAAAAATTAGTTCTGTTGTTTAAGATACTCGGTGTGTGGCATTTTATTGCAGTTGCCTGAACAGACTAACACAGACTCTCTACTAAACATGTTGAGAACAGCACAGCAGCCATTACGGATTGGGACAAAAACCGTACCAAAACTCACATACGTGCCTATGTACATTAAAAATCTACAAGGACCACCATGATAATACAGCTCCTCAGTGATGGAGAAAAATACTTTAGAGGGAACTTCCACGGCACCCTGGTGTAGGATGAGGCAGGAATAAGGAGAGGTTGCCGGTTCGCTTCCCCGTTTGCCTGTGTGGCACGGAGAAACTGACAGTCCAGTGTATCTGCCACTGAACAACTGGTGTTGTAAAGCAGAGCCGCTGGCACATGACTGGCATAGAATAAAAGCTCCATAAAGGCAACTGTTACTTTTAAATGCTGAACATGGAGTGAAAGAAAAAGGCCCTGCAAAGATTGTATGGCAACAAGAAACAACTGCTAAAAGATGATGACTTTTTTTTTTTTTTTTTTTTTGTCTTTTTTGTTTTTATCGGTACCAGGGATCGAACTCACGACTGCCTGCTTGCAAGGCAGGCGCTTATGCCGCTGAGCTAAATCCCCAGCCCCAAGATGATGACTTTTTAAATTATGAAAAGGATGCTACAAAATTGAAAACCCATTACCTCCGCTCCTTCCACACACAGTGGTTAATAGCACTGGAGGCGCCACACACAGCTGCACCTTGTCACCAAAGCCCTGTGACTTGGAAGATGACCAAAGGAACAGACCAACAGTGCTTCAAACAGGTGGTGAGGGAAAATAGTCTTTAATCTTTTAAAAATAAAATATAAAGGAAATACTCCCAGAGAATAAATGTAATGCCAGAACATTTTAGAGTTATCCATGTATAACTAGAAATATTATCCTCAGCTGCAACAGTGCTGCAAAAAGATCCAAACGTTTCATGTGATCCCCCCCTCCAAACCCTGTCTTGCAGCCAGGACAGGGGTTGTTATGTAAAGTGACAAAAAGAGGAGTTTCCAGAAGCTTTAGGACTCAAGGAAGTGACAGGAGGTCACATGGGCCAACCAGTGAGGGCTGCAGACTGTGGCAGTGTCTTAGTTAGCTCTTATTTTTGGTGTTTCCAGAGGCTTTCTAGGAGGGAACTAGGAAGCAAAAGACAGGAATTTTAAGAACACTAATCTAGAATTTTTGTAAACTGGCCTACAATTTGCAATTAGATTTGAGTAAGGGAAAGTCATTGAAAATTCAGGTTTCCAGGATATACCATTAAAGCTCTAGAGTCAAAATTCTACGAACAGGCAAATGAATCTGCATTGGTAATAATATTTATGCATAAAATCACAACTCTTAATGACTTGTATCACAACATAACCAAAATATTTTCACTGAAAAATAATTACAATGCATTTTACTCTTGCTTGTTTTACTAAATATTACACATAGTTAAGTGAAATCTGTTATCTCTCACAGCCTGGAATACTTGGTGCACCCAACCTGAGTGGAGGAAGCGGAACCCCTTTACATTTGGTCTGCCATAAATATTTCATGAAATTGTCAAATAAAATTTTTTGAAGTTTCTTCCAACAGTGGGGAAAAAATGCCTATTATTGTCCTCTTTAAGTCACAGCTTCCTCAAGTGAAAACTAAAAAACAATTGTGTGACAATAATGTCTCAATAAGTGGTGACTATTTTTATTACTCTAGTTGAATAATAATAGTAGGCAGAGGGTGGATTGCTGAGCTATGAAGCTTTTGTACTTTTTACCCCCTCTTTATTCTTTCTCTCTGAAAAGTACAGAAGCACAAAATGAATGGAGACAATGCAGTGAAACTCAGTATTGTAGACAAAACAAAAACCAAACCAGCACAAAACACCTGGTCTGAATGGAAGTGGAGGTCACGGGTTTTCCACTCTAATCTTAGGGTTCCATCAACCCTGACATTTAGTGTATCCTTCAGGGCCAGGCCTGCTTTTGCCCTTGCCAGTCCCGGTTCTCCTTTCTGATACAATCTTGCTCTGCAGCCCTGTTCCTTGCTGTAATAAGAGACATTGGGTCCTTTCAGTCCCCTAAAATTTCAGCGGGCTGCCTCTTCCCTAATCAAGATTCCCTTTTCTTAAGGAATATGGATCTTTGGGATGGGCTGACCTAGTTATCTGATTAAAGCAATTTACAGCCAGGTGAGGGGAAGGCTAAACTCAGTTCCTCCAGAGATCATTTACATTTCAAAGGAAGAGCTCCCCTGGCCTTTCCAGACTCCTTTGCAAGGCTCAATGCCCTTCCCTTTCACCTCAGGGAGTATTTCCACTCCTGGATTCCTTCTCTTACAGAATCAGCTACACATTTCTCTTTACAGATATGCTGGGCTCTCACCTTTAAAAAACGACTGCTTGCCATGGGCTGAATGAAAATAGAAACTTTATCAGCAAGCATGAGTTGGCAGAGTGAAGGAATATCATCGGTAAGAATATATAAATTGACGGGTACAGAAATTCGTGCATGTGTTTGGGCGTACATGTATCTATTTTTTCCCTGGATAAAGATCTCCAGAAAATAAAATTTTAAAAATCCTTAAAACCCATATGTTGTATGGTTCTTCTTCATACCCCCTCAAAATGTGTTAAGTTTACTGGGTGACCAGTGCTTCATCATATGCCTTAAATATTTGCTTCAGTTTATTTTATTTAAGGATTTGCTGTTTACACCACCAAAAAGGAAGGAAGAGAAATGAGAGAATTGTTCATTTGCTACTGAAGCAAAGGTCACATGTGATGCAGTGATGGAAAGGTCTTCAGGCTATTCACAGGAAGCTTTGCACAGAGGAGAGGCCTACCCAGCAGAGGAGGAGAGGAACAGTCAGGAGGCACTACAGCATTTTCCAGACCCAATGTGAATGGATTTGTAGGCTACCTAAACACCATACCTCAAGTCCTTTGTCCAAGTGTTCAACTAACATTTGTGCAGGTAGTTAGACTGAGGGATAAAAGAGCTGAGAACCCCCCAAATGGCATGTGTTGCAGGTTACTTAAAGAAAGACTTCAATGCAGAATATATTTATAATCATTGGTTATGCCCACACTCAAAGCAACCCCACAGAGGACAATGATGTGTTACAGGTTAGACACCCTGAACACGTCTTCCAGCACCCTGCTACCTGACCCTCTGACTGCATTCTTGAATGCCATGGCCTTCAACCCAAGGATATTAGGAAGGGAAACCTTTAAAGACCCTCCTGCTTAAGCTGAGATGTGGTTGAAATGAACAGCTCATTTTTCTCAAATTTCCTTTTGTAAATTCTCAACGTAATTTAAGACCTTTAGGAAACATTGGCCCTCTGAAAAGGATGGAAGATATTTTGCAATTTCAAAGTAACTTCTAAGTAAAATCTTAATAAGTATTATAAATATAGTAGTTCTCTGAACCCCAGGACTAATTTCTATGTGCATAAAAATACATCCAAACCAGGGGCAGATGCCTTCATGGCACAGAGAAAGTGTAACTTTCTCTGTATCTATTTTACAATAAATTCTACCTATAATTCTGCAGTACCTATGGGGGATCTACTGAATTCTTTCATCAAGGTCACAAAGAATATAGAACCAAGGAAGTGGGGATATTATTTTCCCACTGCATCAGGACCTGGCCTCCCAGTGACGATAATACATTAATTATCTAAGACTCTATATACTATTCTTTGCATACTCAATACTAGGGCTAATGTTAGACATATTAGAAGAAAGAAACCCCACTTTGATGAATGATTTGTGTTAAATAAACCCATATTATCATATTCTTCCTTACATTTTGTAATGTAATTATTGTCTTTTAATTTAAATCATTGTCTTATAATTTAAAATAAAATATACTAAAGCTAAAATATATAATGCATGGATTGTTTAGAGTCTCTCTCCATCTGTCCACAGGTACCTTCAAAAGGTAAGCTTCAATAATTACAAGGGAGACTCATCAGGAGACAGGAGGTTGATGACATTTGGGAGCAAGAAAGTGGAGAGAAGGGTAGTTTGCCTGGTCACTGAATCAAACACATGTGCTCAAAGATCAAACAGACAAACAAACAATTAAAAAGCCCGGCTTAGCTCCTGTAGTCCTAATACTTTGGAAGGCACAAAGAAGAGGACTGAGAATTCCCCACCTAGCCTGGACAAGTTAACAACTTGGTGAGATCCTGCCATTTTTAAAGCCAAAATAAAAGAAAGAACAAATTCCCAGAAACTTTTTGCTACTTTTAAGCTACTACAACAGTTATACTGTTAACCAATCTGTTTCAATTTAATAGCACACTAAAATTCCTAGGAAGGTTAGTAATCCGTAGCTTGACTTATTATGGTATTTTTTCTAATAAAAATAGTAAACAGCCAAAATTTCCCACCCAAAACAATACAGTTCTCGAAACTTTTCAATTTCTTCTACAATAAGATGCATTTTTACAAACACATGAATAAGAATACTCACATGTACACAAACATAAGTGAAACAAAAGTTGCAAAAGACAGCATTTATTCTTACTATGGTGGCATAGCTGGAAATTTTCTATTTCATTGCTTTCTATGAAATGTAGCAGAGAGTTGAGACATTGTTTCATGCCCTAAGATTGTGATACAACCTGAGTTTCCAAAATGCTGACATTTAGCCTCCGTGTGACAGTATTCATAAATATCACTTTTTGTACTGATTGCATATTCAATTAATTCAATTGTGGACTTTTTCTCTTTCACTTGTTTTTGAATTGGTGTGATTTCTACCAGATTTGCATTTTAAATATATCAAAGGAAGTTTTCTACTTGAGGCCAAGAAAGAAGCATTTTCAAGTATCAGGAAAGTGGTAAGGGTTCTTTCACCAGCCTCTTACACTGGTCCTTATGCACAAAACAGAATCAGAGATTCAGGATAATTAAGTTTTGCTCAGGAATTTCAGTGTAGCCTCAAGGATACTTCAGAACATTTCCCTTTCGCAAGATTAAATAAACAGCTAATAGAATAAAAATCCTCAAGTGTATATTAGGGATTTGCATGGGTTACAGTGCATTTCCTCTCGCTTTATACTCTAAATGTCGTTCTCAAATATTTTTTTTTCCTGAAAGGAGCATTTTATTGATAATGATTCAAAACAAAACAAAACAAAAGCTTGAGAATTTGGCTTCTTAGGATTGTGAAACTTGTAGAAAATTTTAATAGAGTAGGTGGCATGGTAAATTTATTACACAGTAATCAAACTTTACATATGGAATACTTGGGCAAGCCACATAAACATATACAACATAAAAAGAAAACAGAAATAATATACAAACAAGAAGAGGTAGACTGGCCATCTAAAGAGTTCCCTAACTTAGCCAAAATGTTGCTTATATGATTGAAATCAAGTCAGTTGCTCACTGAACATTGTGTAATGTGCTAAATTCTTAGAATGAATTAAATTTATGTTATCTGATATCATATAGAATAGCCTTCTTATAAAGTGAGCACACAAAAGAGGAATCCATACACTCCTTCAGAAAGTTACTACAGTGATTTCAGGAAATCTGAGAAACTGCAAATGCTCTTAAGAAGTTTATCAAAACAAATGAACAAACAAACAAACCTTGAACATTCTACACTTTGGTCAGTATTTCAAGATCAAGAGTAAATATGAATCCATTGCTGTGCCTATGTAACTACAAAATCAAAGTCTTGAATTTGTTTCACAGACAGTTTTATAAATACTGTTCAAGTCTTTAAATATATGTGTTTAGGTAAAAACATGAACACACACTATGGCATTCAAAGGGCACCTGCAGAAGGAACTAAAGAATATGCTTTCCTCTGACAGAACGATATACTGATCCTGGAAAAAGTTGTCATCACATAACACATAAAAAATATCGATCAATTTAGCTTTTTACTTAAAGTCAGAATTTAATGTACTATGCACAAAGATGTAAAAGCCCTAATTTTCTTTAGATCACACACAGCCAAGTTCTTAAAATTACTGTTGAAATGCAGTTTTGGATTTTTCTCCTAATGACTTCATTATTCAATCTAATAGGTGCTAACCATCTCCTTGAGGATGGAACTGGTGATTTAGACATTCATTAGTAGAGCACTTCTGTATCGATACTGTTTCTTCTATAGATTTATTTATTTGCGTACTAATTTTCCTTAAATAAGAAAAAAATTTTGAAAATAAATTGTACAACAAATGGAAGAAGTAGTGATTGGCTGACACCCCACGGCCAAGGGCCCCAGCAGGTTTCGGAGCAGCAAGGTCATCAGTATGGTCAAAATGGAGCATCTTATTAGAGTGGAATTCAGCCAAACACAGTAATGTATGGATGTAGACGCATCTGAAAGAAGGAAAATAAAGATTTATGCAGGTAAAAAAAATACAACAAAGAAATTTTTCCCTATGACTATGCTCAATTGGAAGACTGAAGTAGAGATTTGGGAGCACGACAAATTCTATTTATAAATTTTGTATTGATTTATAAATATGCTCAGAAAAAAGTTAACTTGTCAGAGGAATGCAACTTAGCTATAATAGTTTTGTTGTTTGTACACAGTGTTAGTGTTCAATACAAACATCACTAAATTCCCGAAAATAAACCTTTATTCCGTCTTTAAAACATTAATTCACCAGAAGTGATAATTAAGATTAGTTTTAGTGGTTTCAGCTCAGTTCTTGGAAATGTGATTTCTGCCACAACACTAATGCTAAATAAAGCACTGTGTAATGTACCGCCGCACAGAGCCTGTTTAAGAAAAATCTAGAGCTTTGTAAAAAGAAAGAAACAAAAGGAAAAAAAAAAAGAGAGAGAGAGAAACTAGGCTTACTCTCTACATATGTGAACATATCTTAGACTTTCTGCAGAATCACAGCAAATACATGAATGGTGAACCTTGCTATAGTCTAGAAATTAATTTTATACTACTAAAATATAAACAGTACAAACCCTCAATGATGTTACAGAGTCTAACAGCATCCATGCTTGAGGCAAAATAATGGCTTTGTGACACTACATTTAGTTTTAAAAACAGTTTGGTCTATTTTTCAAATTAACAAATTCAGTAATTTATATTTATCCCCATGTTTAGATTTAATAAAGTAGATTGGTTAACTTCCTGACAAGGGAGCCATCTCTTGACAAGGGGGCATTAAAAAAGTAAAAAAACGTCACGTCCTGCCAAAAATTTTCTAGAAATCAACTTCAAAGAGAAAATTAGTTCATCATTGGGTGTTGAGAATGCTACGAGGAAGAGTTTGCAAGGTGTGTGAAATACAGAGGAGCTCAGGAAACAAAAAGCTATCAACGTGGATGAAAAATGTGAACTATAATCTCAATCTGAGATGGATAGAAATCTCATACATAATGTATAGAGCTTTCTATTCTTTTCTATTAAGATACATTTTCATTTTCATTGACACCAAAAGCTAGGCCATTGTGCTGCTAAAATTAAAAATTCTGTCGACTTGTTGAATATATGTTCTCAGTCATGTAGAATTACTGTAATTTAAATGTACCTTACATGAGGGAAAGAATTCTTACTTTCTATTGAAAATCTATAAATTTTGAATGAAAAAAATCCTATATAATTCCACAAATAACAACTAGAGCCTAAAGCACAGTTACATTCACTGTAAAATTGTCTGCCTTTAGCCAAATATATAGTTGTAAGTATCTGACTACATAAAGATACAGAAATTCAGTCTCTTTCCATAAAAGTGGTATATATAAGATAGATTAAAAAAAGAAGCCACCAAACTCTACATTCCATGACTTGGATTCTGATCTACAATGTAGCTAATAATTTTGTGATCCTAATCAAATAACTTTTTCCATGCCAGGCCTTAGTTTCCTCTTCCATAAAACTAAAAGACTTTTTTGCTCCTATCTTTTAATTCTAAAATGTAATGACTCTAATGATTTCAGGTACAGGCACTTAGCTGTTTATTTTACAATATTTTATTTTGACTTGGTATGTATTTGAAGTGCAGTGTATTTTCCACATATCAATGTATGAGCATCACAAAACCAAAACCAAAAATCTAGTGGTGCAACTGTTTGATTTTGTGGTTTTAAGGCAAATTCATCGATTTAGAATAGCTTATGGTAAAGTTTAAATTAAGATGTGGACTTTCCTTTAAATTTGCGTATCCACTGCAGATTAACTGGCTGCATGACCTTTAGCATATTTCATAGAGATCCAGGTAATATTGTTTTAGTAGATGTCTACTGACTAAACATATGACTTAACTTCCATCAAGTAGGGCTTCTTAGGAGCCTGAAAACAAATGTAACAGAGATTTCATCATATGCAGGTTCACTGAGCCTCTTGAAAGAATCCTTGATGATAGATAAGACAGCTATGTAAGACACACTTACAGAACTGGAACCAGAAGCTGTGCCTAGGGTTACTTGGAGATAAACTACTACCAAAGTGTAATGATGGTGTATGCATGCACCAATAAGTTGATATCTTATTTTCTTTGTGCGGTGCATGCTAATAGCAATGGCAAGTCACTTGCTTCCAATATAATAGTTTTTTTAAAGTTCTGCCTATTTTTTCTACAAAGTATGCAATGAATGTGTTGAACATAATTTAATCAACTAAAGAGAACTTTATTCAGACTAATTCAGCAGTTCCTTAGAATAGGCAAACTGTCACTGGAGTTAATATGAAATTTTTTTCTTGAGTATTTCAAGATCAGTTGCAAATGGATTTTAAAATAAATGTTTGTTTGAGCTAAATTCTTGCCAAAAATACAGTACCTTACTTTCCATTTACAAAATACAATAAAACTTTTACTTGTAAGTGCATTATCTAAATAACAGCATGTCAAAGATAAGCTCAACAGGATTTGAGAATAACAAAGTGGTAATTGTACTTTTATAATGTCTAGTAAGTTTTTAGCATTATATTACTCTTTAAGAAAAACTGAAAACATTTAGCAGAGTAAAACACTGGATATTTAAAAGTACCCTGAGTGCATTTTCCTTTATTTTATAAACCAAAAGCACAGTACTACTGCTAGGGCACCAAACTTTAACAACTACCAACACCAAGTGTGCCAAGTAAAGAAAGAATAAAATGGAAAAGGGAACACTTAATCTCAATAATTTTGCAATGATCCATAATTTGCTCAACAAAATATATTAGGTAGTTGTCAGCACAGGCTTTTGTTTGAATTGCAAAGGTCTACTCTATGAAAACTTGGGCTACATCTTCAGTTTTTCTAATGTGTGAATTTCAGAAAAAAAATTCCATCAACTCTGCAGCACACATGTAGAGTCTGCCAAAAAGCACTCTAGAAGCTTGATTTGAATGTCTCTAGAGACTATGAAAATAAACCAAAAAGAAGGGAGGGGGGAAAGAGGAGTGTATTATTTACACTTTCATTTCCACAAAGCTGTTTAACATGCTAAAATTGGGTAATTAATACCACGTAAGAGCAGCACATCAAACTTTGTAATTCTGATGGAGAGAACACTGTAAGAAACATCACCTTCATTTCATTATAAATAAAAAATAGTAAGATAATTCAGAAAATACATAAATTTAAGCCTTTGAATCAAATCAAATCTCCAATTTTTAATTACTATCTATTATAAGGAAACGAAAAGCATACAACTTTCAAATTTTTTAACAGGTAAATTCATTTGTCAAAAGAGAAAAACTTTAAAAAAAGAAACCTTATGTAACCTTTTTGTGAACAAAAGGTTTCAAGTAAGAAAACCTATCAGTTCTGCGAAAATTGAAGGTGATAATATTTTTTTAAGAAAAAACAACTCATTTCTTATGACACAAATAAAAATCAGAACAAAAAGAGTCTGTTTATCTCAGATGTCTGAAAGGAATGTAACTTTGTAAATGGATCCCTGGTCCCCTGACAGCAATATTGAGGAGATGAAGCGTATCAATTACTATTACTAATTACATTAAGGGGAATGTGCTTCATTTGCCTTTATTTCATTGTAGGTCAGCTACTTGTGGTTAAAACTTTATACATCTTTTGAATACCTAATGACATAGAGTTTTCCATAGTCACTCATGGCAAACTGTGTGATTCATTCCAAATGCTTTGTGGGTTTTCTCTTTTGGAATATGGACTTCATTCAGTTAAGAGACTAATACCATACATTAGTTTATTTATAAGCCTATCACTTTGCCTCTCAGACAAGATGCTCACAGTCTTGATAGTGGATGTTTTAAAAATTTAAGAACATAGAGGTAACCCCATCTAATGAGCCAAATAAATCTTAAGAGAGAGCAAAGAACATATTAGCATTTACATAAAGTATCTGTAAATCTGCCACTTGAGATGACCACTCAAAAGCGTAAGAGTGCAAATGCCATTCAACCAAAATGCAAAAGTATTTTTATGAAGGGAGGGAGAAGTACAAAGTCTGTGGAAAGATCTTTTCACTCTCTTTGGTACTGCATGCTAGTATTTTCTAGGGAAAGTTCTAAGCCATCTTATAAAAGTGTTATTTTAACACAAATTTTCCTTGTTTACAAAACTGATACCACCATCAAAAGTAAAACAAAAATCTGCATCTAAGTTCAGGTAAAGTATAATAAGGCAAATAGAGACTCTCCAATGTTATGTATTTGATTTAAAATACATAAACTCTTAAACTTAACTGTCTCAAAAGATACTCTGCCTCAAAAACTATTCCATGCAGTGTAGTTGAAACTTATGTTTTCTTGGATTGCTTTTTTTATTGGATGTAAAAGAACATTAAGTCCGTTTCTCCTTATCTAAATAGCTACAATAAAGTAGTACATATAGAAAATGTTACTTTAGGAAATTAACTTTAACAACTTTGAAAGCAATAAAGAATTAATATCTCTTTTCTGAAATGAAAGTATACAATGTTTTTTTTTATTTTTCCTCAGTTTTTCAAGGATCACACAATTTCACAGGCAAAACGTATTCAGCAGAAAACCCATTATGTAATCTTATTTGACAGTCATAAATGTGTTTCTTGAGATGTGTTCCAGCAATAAAGAATATGCAGTATTTGATTAGCAGAGTTTGCTGCAGTATTAGAGTAGTTTCCAAAAGGTTACATTTGTTGTGTTTCAAACTTTGGTGAGCATAAAAAGTAAATAGTATTCTACATGACATAAGCAAACCTTTCAAAAACAAAATTTTCATTTTCTGAAGTTTCCCTCAGAATGCACCCATATCAGTTCTTTATTGTTTCTACCTTTTATCAAGAAACAACTGTGCTCAACACTCCACATAACCTTTATATTGAAAGTACATCAAAAGCATATCAAGCTAGTCTTGCACACAATATGTAACTATAATCATTTTCACTTTGTGGCTTAAATAACAAAACTCCCATGAACCTTATTTCTTATTATGAAATTTTAATACTGAGAAGAAAGAACAAACTGTTGATTGTATGTCATCAGAGCATAATTGCTATGAATATCTACTGCTATAAAGTATTAAAATGTAGTTTTTCAGGACACTTGCATATCAATAAATACTTTAAGTCAGTATTTTTGTCAAATTAGTCAGTGTTTTCATAGCCCAGACTTAGTACTCTATTTGCATCAATCAGCATCTGCTTATTTGTAAAATCCTGAATGATGTAAAGCACAGCTAACATTTCTATAATGCCCAATTTGCATAGACACCAGTAGTAACTTTAGAACATTTCTCTCTGGATGCAATTATCCACTTAAAACTATCCAAGCAGTATATACATATTTATCCTGTAAACCGAAAATGTAAAATGCATTAGAGCTTCCAAATGCAAAGAGAAGTGCAAAACACTGTCTATTTTGAATATATCCTTCAGTAACTTAGTGAACATTGGCTCTCACCTGCAAAATAGTTACACACCTCTCATGGAAGGCCTATGCTATATTAATGGTGCATATTAAATTTCTGCTATAAAAATTTAAATACTAGCCTTTAGAAAGAGAAAACGCAACTTGACAGAAGCTGATCTGCCTCAGAGTTACTAGCCCTCTCTAGGATAATTGAACATATTTGGAATGAATCTTACCTGTTTGCTGTACTTGTTATTGGTTTGACAGCTGTACTCAGAGCAGTGATCTGATCCAATTGAAATGTTGTCTCCTGCTCCCACAAATGTGTTGGCTGGCGGTAGATCTTGTACAGCCTGGTGTTTTTTTCCTGCAGTGGGTGACTGGGGGTGCAGCTGGACAGTAGGCAATGGGGAACTAGATTTGTAATGCCTTGCCAGGTCAGGACTGCCAGGCCCCCCATTCACAGATCGGTATCTGCCCATGCTTGGACTGTCCGACAGCTTCTCATTGACACTATCATACCTCTGTCCATTTGGCTTAGAAGCTTCTACAGTGACAATGCTGCTGTAGAGTGGCTGCTTTGATTTTTTGTTTTTCTTGTCCTTTTTAGGCTTTTTAGATTTGTCATGCTGCTGGGGTGTAAAAAAGTCTTCATGGTCTTTTTTGCCAGCCTCATAGCCATTTTTATTTTTGGACCTGCAGTACCTTGCCATCACAACAATTAAAATGATTAGGATCACTGTCATAATGCCAGCAACCACCCCGATGACAATACTGAGCCTCTGTTTGCTGATTTCATAGCTTGGGTCACCAGCTATATCCTGGGTGAGTGGGGTATGCAGACTTCTGGCTATCTGGGAGTCAATCACAGTTGCATTAGAAACACTTTCATTGACAAACACATGCACCAGAGCGGTGGTGGACTGGGAAGGCTGCCCACTGTCATTCACTTGTACCACCAACCTGTGCAAGCCATAATGCTTATGGGTAAGTTTTCCCACTAAGGAAACCACACCACTGGTGGAATCAATCTCAAACAGCTTGAAGGGATTCCCTCCCACAATGCTGTAGTTCAGGTCTGCATTGATGCCATCATCACTGTCTGTTGCCAACACTGTAGCTACAACTGTCCTGACATTACTCGAAGGTGGCAGCAAGGTGTAAGAAATATTTCTGGGAAGGGTAACTGTGGGAGCGTTGTCATTTTCATCCATCACAAAGAGCGAGACAGTGGCAGTGGCAGATCTGGGAGGATCCCCACCATCCACAGCCTTGACCCTGAAAGTGTAGGTGGTCTGATGTTCCCGGTCAAAAGACATTGTGGAATAAATCGTCCCTGTGTCGTTTTCAATGGAAAAAATATTACTGTTCTCCTCAATATAGAGGCTCATCTCTGCATTCCGTCCTTTGTCAGCATCCATCACGGTAACCATTCCCACTGGGCTGTTGGGTTGCAAGTTTTCTTTCACATAAAAGGTAAAGATGTCCTGCATAAACTTAGGGTCATTGTCATTCTTATCAGCCACCTGCACAATTACTGTGGTGCTGCCCTGTAGCACAGGGATGCCTTTGTCTTTGGCATTAACTTTAAACTCATACCTGTCTGTCTGCTCGCGGTCCAGCACAGTATTTACAAGGATGTCCCCAGAATCGGGATCAATAGCAAAGATCCCCATCACCGCAGAGTCCAGCGAGTAAGCGATCTCTGCATTTTTCCCGCTGTCAGCGTCTGTGGCCAGCACAGTAGCTACTCTCTCCCCCGGAATGTTGTTCTCAGGGAAGTACACCTCCACCACTGACTGGCCAAAGACGGGAGGGTTGTCGTTAGTGTCTCCCACTTTGACAACTAAGGAATTGTTGCTGGAAAGGCTGGGGCTGCCCGAGTCCACCGCCACTATGACCACGTTGAACTCCCGGGTGGTCTCATAGTCTAGAGGCGCCGAGGTGTGCAGGAAGTACTTTTTCTTGTTCTGGTCGCCCTCTGTGTCGCTGGCCGGCTTGAGCTGGAAAGGGACATCGCCCACCACGGTGCAGGTGACCACGCCGTTCTCCCCTTGGTCTCGGTCGGACACTTGCACCAAGGCGATGGGGGTGTCGACCAGGACGTCCTCGGCCACGTTGGCCACCCCGTCCTTCAGCGGGATGCGCCCGATCTTGCGGATTTCAATGGAAGGCACGTTGTCGTTCTCATCCTTGATGTTGAGGACCACAGTGGCCTTGTCGGTCTTGGGGGGCTGCCCGCGGTCGCGGGCCATGACCGTGAAGCGCAGCTGGTTCACTTCCTCGCGGTCAATGCGGTGTAAGACACTGAGCCAGCCGGAGGTCTCGTCCAGGCGCAGGAGCCGCCTCACCGACTCGGTGGCCGCCCCGAACACGTACTCGATCTGCCCATTGACCCCCACGTCCAGGTCCGCGGCGCGCAGCTGCAGAATGGGGGTCCCCGGGGCGCTGTTCTCAGCCAGGTCGGCCTCGTAGACGCTCTTCTCAAAGCGGGGGCTGTTGTCATTCACGTCGGTGATGAGCACCCGCAAGATAGCCTGCGAGGATCGCGGGGGGTCGCCGCCGTCGCGCACCCGAAGGGTCAGCTCGTAGGAGTCTCGCTGCTCGCGGTCCAGCGCCCCCTTCACGATCAGCTGCGGTTGCTTCTCGCCGTCCGGGGTGTCCGCCACCTGCAGCTCGAACACGCTGCTGCGCCCGCCGGGGCTGCTCCCGCCGCCGCCCTCCGGAGCGTCTGGACGCCGCTTGGAGCCTCCCGGGCCGCCGCCGCCGCCGCCAGCGCCGTTCCCGCCGCCCCCGGGGTAGGGGGCGCTGTCGGCCGGCAAGGAGCGCCGGCCCTCGCCGCCGCCGCCGCCCCCGGGCTCCTGCAGCAGTTCGTAGCGCTCGATGCCGTTGCGGCCGAAGTCACGGTCGGTGGCGGTGGGCAGCAGGTAGAGCGTGCCCACAGGCCGGTTCTCCTCCACTGTGAGCGTGAGCACGGGCGACGGGAAGGTGGGCGTGTTGTCGTTGATGTCCAGCACGATGACCCGACCCTCAAACAGGTCCACCCAGCTCTGCGAGGGCCCGATCACCGACACCTCGAAGTCCAGGAAGCACTCGTTCTCGTCGAAGATCATCTGACACTGGGGGAGCTTCTCGCGGTCGATGCGCCGCTCGCTGGTGCTCAGCTCGCCGGTGAGGTTGTCGATCTTCAGGTACTCAGAGCCTGACTCCAGGCTGAAAGTCACCTCACCGGAGCCGGTCACGATGCCCAGGTCCGAGGCGACGTTGCCGATCCGGACGTCGGCGGGGCCCTCCTCGGCTAGCCGGTACCGGAGGAGTTGCTTGGAGGCCGCCAGGCTAAGCCAGAGCGGCAGGAGGAGGCAGCAGCCCAAGCACCAGCCGCGCGCCCATCCCGCCGTCCGCATCCTCAGCATCTTCTCCTGCTGCTGCTGCTACTGCTCCTTCTGACCACTGCGCCCTCGGCGCCCCCTCCTCCAGGGCTGGCCACCTGCCCTCCCCCAGTGCTCTCTCCTCCCCGGGAACGGAAGAATCAGGAGGGGAGCGGGGAGGGAGGGGGCAGGAGCAGCGTGTAGAGTCGGCGGATGAGGTGGGGGGTGCAGCAATAGATCGTTGTTTTTTTTTTTTTTTTTCTCCTGCTTCTTCCGAAAGTTATTGTTTCATAATTCATGCAATGGGTGCTAATCGCCCGCTCGCCGGCCGCCGTTCAGTCGCAGTACTCACAGTTCACGGGACACTGCGCGCCGCGGGCTCGGCGCCCCCCGCCCCCTGAAAGTCATCCCCGCAGCCGGAGGAGGAACCCTGGCTGCGTCCCCTCTCGGTCGGAGCGGGCCAGAACCGCTTCTGCCGGCGGCCGGAGGAGCTGGGAGCGGCGGGGAGCGAGCCTGCAGTGTCCTCCGCTTGCCAGCCCCGCCAGTCGCCGCTGCTACTCGAGTTGAGTCCGGTCCCGTTCCAGCCGCTCACTCTAAGATCCGGTCTCCGCTCCAGCTACGGATGCCCAGGCAAAACGTGAGCCTCTTCCAGCACGAGGCTCTGTGGTCAGCAGCAAGCCAGTCTCAACTCTCACTCCTCTAGGCAGCCGGGCAGTCAGTCAGCAGAACAAGAATGAAAAAAAAAAAAAAAAAAAAAAATATCTGGCAGGTCGCTCCGGGCACAGTGCGGGGAAGACTACTCGCGTCACCGCGCGGTCCGCGTCCGGGTCCCCCCGGCGCGCAGGAGAGAAGCCCGAACCATCTTCAGAGACAGACGCCCAGAGTCGGTCGCTTCTCCCCCGCGAGAGCTCCTCGGCTTTCTCTTTTCTAACAACTCTGCGCAAGGTCATTAGTCACGAAGCCTCCGCCTGAAACCGCAGCAGCCTCTGGCCGGTGGAGGCGAGGGCTGAAGCGTGCGCACCGCGCGGTGCCCAAGTTTGGGTTCGCAGCCGCAGAGTCCGTGCCTTCCCTCACCTGCATTCGGCCCGCGTGTCGGAGCTCCGGGATCTGCAGCGCCGTGCGCGATTCAGGGAGGAGATTGCAGCCTCTCTCTCCCCGCGCGCTCTCTCCCTCTCTCGATCCCTCCCCTCCCTGCCTCTTTCTCCCCTCCCTCCTCTTTCCTCCTCCCTCTCTCCTCCCTCCTCTCTTTTCCCCTTTTCCCCTCTCTCACTCGCTCTCTGGCAAGGTCTCTCGGCTTCCTCCCGGTCTCTAAGCCGGGAACTCGAGCTGAACTTGAGCCCTTTGCGGTTCAAAGGTGAGCGAGCCGGGCTCACCGCAGAGGCTACGTTAGCCAGGCGAGAGCGCACGGCCGGGCTCCCCCAACGGCAATTAACAAAGATGCCCAATTCCGTCCGGATTTCCGAAGAAAAGCCCAAGGCATGGGGCGGGGGTGGAGGAGGAGGAGGAGGAGGAGGAGGAGGAGGAGGAGGAGGAGGAGGAGGAGGAGGTGGAGTCAGAGACAGCTGCCAAGTAGCTTTAAAAAAAATCCAGTTTGCCAAGGGGAGAAAAAGTGCCAGTCGGCTGTTGTCTCGGAAGTGCCCTGGCACGGCGGGTGAATTCCGCAGTTGTCTCGTCTCCTTTCGCGCCTGGAAGAGTCTGGTGCGGGCGCTCCCGCTGCCTCTCGGGATGCCGCGGCTCCCAGTCAACTGAACCGCAAGTGGGAAGCTCTCGCTCGATCCCCGCGAGCCAGAAACCCGCAAGTTTGCCCAAAGTGGTGGTTGCCGCTGGAAGCTCGCTCGCTCGCGACTCAGACTTGTTCCCGGCGCTGCTGCGGCGGCGGCGCCAGCGGCAGCGGCACTAACAGCCCAACCGCTAGAACTACACACTGGCGTAGAGGGAGGAGGGCCCAGGAGGATGAGGCGGGAGGGTGCACCGGCCAGCCTCTGCGCGGGGGAAGCCCAGCTTCAGCTACCGGGACCGCTTCCAGAGTGTCCAAGATCAGCCCCCGAAAGCCTAGTTCCCTCCGAGAGTTCAGTTGCCCTTTCTGAGCGACAAGGGGTCAGGCTGGCTTTCCCTGCCCTACTCTGGTAAATTTCCTCCTTTCCTCTGACTAATGCGGAGCGGGAGTGCTTCAGAAAAGGTACGAGGGTATAGCTCTGCTCTTCCTCCCCCTGGTCGGACGGTGTCTTTCTTCTCCTGTGAAGAAGGTCTCAGGTTTGCAGTTTAGCTTAGGGGCTAGGGCATGGCTGTTAGGTTGTGGACCTCGCGTGCATCCAGAAAGCCATCCTGGTGTGTTCTTGAAAAAACCATGCCGGGTTGCATTAGTGAATGCAGAACAGCAAACTCCACAGCGAGAAGACCAAGGCTCCTTTTTTGGGAGCGCAGACTTAGCAGGGCCGGGGTGGGGTAAGGAAGATGCCTGCCTTTGTTTAAATGCTTGGCATTCCTGTCGTAGTGCTAGCACGGGGTGGACCGTGTGCGCGCGCGCGCCTGGGGAGTAACACACATGTGGGAAACCTCGATATTATTTTCTGAGCAGAAACCCGCAGCCTTTAGTAACTAGCAAAGTGTAGCGTCACCTATCTGGATATAAGGGAAATAAACTTTAACGGTAACTTTGTGTACCAAGTGTCCCTTGCTTCTTTCCTCTCCTTCTGACTTTGTGCCACTTGCTCGTCCCTGCTATTCCCTCTACGCGAGGCTTCCCCAGTTTCGATCACGACCTCCGCAGTTCGCCTCACTGGATCACAAGTAGACTTGGAGCTGGAACCAGCTTCCCGTTTATTTCAGCATTTATTTATGAGAAGACAGCCCCTCGCAAGATGATGAGGGCTGGGGCAGACAAGACATATTTGCAGACGATTTTTATAACTTCAAAAGAGCAAAAAAAAAAAAAAAAAAAAAAAGAGAGAGAGAGAGACCTATCTGTGGGAAATTGGTGGCCTTTGGCAATTTTGTCCAATCTAGAGATGGCCCCTTAAATAAATATTTAAAGCGAAAAGAAAAAGAGAAACCCATCCAGCACCTATATTCTACAAGATCTGAGTGAGGAGGCAAAATGATTTAAACAAACCAAATACCAGTAAAGTCTCGGAGCAGATGTAGCGCGCGGTTGTTTGGGCGGGCTCAGCGAGTAGGGATGGGGTGGGGAGCGGGAGGCGGCGGCGGCGACTTTCAAGCTCTCCCTAGCGTGCACTGCAGAAGCGCGGAGGCTGGAAGTGTGTATAGTATATGGCAGGAAACTGGCAAGTATTTTCCAGTCTGTTAAAGCAGCATCATCATCCAGAAGTGGCGGCTCGCCCTCCGAGGACAGGGCCAGGAGCCCGGCCTTCCCCGTGACCCTCCCGCGGCTGCCACCCGAGCCTCTTAGCTCGGTATCTGCAGCATCAGCGAGAAAAGCCTGGCGCGCAGGCTCAGTGCGCACCGCCGCAGTCTCCAGGCGGGGGCGGGGGCGGGCGCCGCAGCGCCTACGCAGCCGGCTAAGTGGCGCTAACGCCAAATCTGTCTTACATCTGGCATGAGTACCGGTTTATCGGAACGCCTGCTTTCCTGCTAGCCCGGTCCTGGAGTGAAAGGGGGAAGCCGTCAGAGCTTGGAGGCCCTGAGCTGAGCATTCCGATGCGCGGCAATATGGTGCAGCGCACGCACCGCTGTCGCCACCTTTACTAAAATTTTGCAAACTTCAGGCAGCCGCGTGGGCAGAGACGTTGAGTACTCCCTGTCTCCACACCGTAAAGTTGAACAAACACCTCTGCGTCTGCAGCGTCCGCCCTCTGCTCCGGCGCGCACTGGCCAGGCGCACGCTCGCGCACGGGGGCGAAGTGGGCGGCTTCGCCCTGCGCGCTGCACATTTCGTCCCGGACGACGGGGGAGGGGAGCAGCGTGTCCTTCACAGTGGAGTGGTTTCCTCTGCGAGCGGGAGGTAGTCTCCAGCTCGCCCCCGTCACTCTCAGCCCTACCGACTCCGCCGCTGAGCCAAGCCAGCGTGGGAAATGGGTCCGACGTGTGCTGCATGGAGAGCAGCGCGTCCAGACTGGCGGGGCCTCGGAGCCTCCGGGCTGCGCTCCCTCCTCCGGTCGGTCCCGGGCTCCGACCTTCCTGCCAGAGCAGCCAGGACGTGACAGCAGCTTTGCAAGCGGCGGGCTCTGGAGGAGAGGCCAGAATGGGCGGGAGAAGAGGGCGGGAGAGGGAGGTGAGAGGAGCCTTCGGGGCGCTCGAGTGAATCCGGGACACCGAGGCCCTGCCGCCCCCAGTTTCAGCATTGACCCCCACACTCCACCTCCTGCTGGCGTGGAGGGAGAAGGCGCGAGAACGGGTTTTCCCCACCCCCGCCCTATTTCCGCAGCCAGTGTCACAAGTGCTCAGCAGTTTCATTAAATGGAACCGGGGGATTTAATCCCCCCCACACACCAGCAAGGGAATCTGATCTCCGGCTGCACGCCCACCCACCAGCCCCGCCCGGCTGCTCAGACCTGGAGCTGCATTTGTCTTCACAACCTGAAAGGCAAGGATTCTGAAGGAAATGGGATCGAAAGTGTAACCGGTTGCAATAAATTAAAGAGCTTACTGCTACTGCTGCTTGCTGCTGCCTTGGTGGCCAGAACTGAAAAGGAAAATGAGTGCAGTGTCCTAAAGCCTGCATTGATCACAGTGTTAGGACGTCACCACGTGCAGGAAGCAAAATGGTCAATGTTGAAGTATTTGGGATTTCTGTTCATCCTCTGTTAGCTTGTCACAGACAGTAAAACAAACCAAAAAGAAAAAAGTCCCATTGCAATTAAGATATAAAATAAAATTGATTAAAACACAAATATTCTATTCCAAGATATATTTAATAAAAACTTAACGGATACTTCCATTTGTATGCCAAAATGTCCTACCCTAAACTTACAGTATTAGGGGGTTTTTGTTGTTGTTGTTGTTGTCTTAAAAAATTTACCTGCTAACTCGAATTGCTTAAAACTGCTTTGCAGTTGAGAAATTTAAATGACTGAGCTTAAAAATAACGTTCAGGGTCCCTGATGTAAAGCATAAACCAGGAATAGAACTAATGGCAACAAAAGTTTATGGCTAAGCACACACAGAAGTAGGTACCATTGATCGGATCTCAGAGGGGTCTTCATTTAGAATAGACGCTGTATTATTCACAATAATACGAGAAAAAGGTTAAATACAGTAAGCATGATATCCCGTTCTGGAAAGAAATATAAAACAGTTTGACGGAAAGGGAGAAAGCGACTCAAGAACTCCACCAAGGGACAAACAGAGGATATGACACCCGACATCTCCAAATCTATTGACCTTTCATCTATTTAAAAGATTCTTGTGTGTCTTTTTCCATATTTATAGATATACTTTAGAAGTTTTTATGATGAACTGCTTTTGGTAAATTCTACACTCCAGTCTTTCTTAACTAAATTATTAAAATGACTTTCGTTCCAAATTTATTTTAAATAGTAGTTATAACTATGCAAAGCTATTGTTTTCTATCAAGCATTGATTCTAGTCCTTGGGATTATGAAAAACTTTAGGCTTATTTTGCAACTTTAAATTCATGCCTGTAGTATTAAAATATGTACTAGACTAAAATGGCTAAATAATTCATTGCAATAACAGCCTTTTTGATGGACGTTAAAACTCAGTGACTTAAATAAGAAAACCACAGATTTCCTTTTAAGCAGGTAATAACTGCTTGCCTCAGTGGTTATTAAATTGGTTTTTAGCCAAGAAATAGAACCACTTGTGCTGTGTCAGTCATGAAACCATGTATGCAAAAATATGTATTACAATATATGTATAAAAGAAAAAGTCAAAAACCAAAGTTGATTTGTACTGTTTATTGGATTAGTATGAAAGTCTTGTTTGGCAAAGACAAAGGCTTGAAAATAAAATTTCTACATATAAATATATAGGTTGCCTGTTTCAGAGTTCACTAGAGTGCCTTAGGCTTCAAAATAAAACTTCATAGAGATTATTTTGTCTTTGAATTTAGTAATAATTAATATTTGGTTATTTTTCATTTTCTGAACTTCTAAGTGTTGTAAATTTGCAGGGTAGCACAGATTTACAATTTATGCCATTGTATTTAAAGATCTCATCAGTTGATGCAATTAACAA